AAGACATCGTTTTTATTTACTTATTTTATTTTTTTATATTATCTATAACAATAAAAGGAAGAATTTGTGTGACTCTCTTGTAACACCAGAACCATTTGTGTTAATGTCCTGAAATTCACCAGTGGCAATTTTAACTCCCGATCCAAAAAAAATAAATAAATAACAATTAATAAAAAAATAAAAAAAATTTAAAAAAAAGTTGTGATCGCCTTACTACGATCACTGGTTACCCATTGGTCAAATGCTTTTTCTTTCTTAATTGACTCCGTTAAACGCCACAACATTTCAAATCATGGGTTTCAAAAACTGTCTCTATTGATGCTTGTCGTCGAATTGATTTTCAAATCCTGCCTATGTACGTGTTTCAAGCCGTCACAAAATACTTTTCCTTTTTCGGCATTTATATTTACATTAAAATCACCGTCAACCAGTCATTATACGTTAATAANGTTAAACGCCACAACATTTCAAATCATGGGTTTCAAAAACTGTCTCCATTGATGTTTGTCGTCGGATTGATTTTCAAATCCTGCCTATGTACGTGTTTCAAGACGTCACAAAATAATTTTCCTTTTTCGGCATTTATATTTACATTAAAATCACCGTCAAGCCAGTCATTATACGTTAATAATAAAAAGAATATAAAAGTGTACTTGAAATTATTATGATGTAAATTCATTAAAAATGCCGGCTAGTGAAAATAAAAAGAAAAACAGCAGCGGTCGCCATAGGAGCGCATGCAATGACGACGCATGCGCACTGTTACTCTTGAACACAGTTGGAAAAGTGTGTGGACGCCATCAAATCCAAACCAAGACGCATTTTGCAAATGGGTAAAAAAAATTCGTTGTAAGTCATCCATCACATCGTTCAGGAAAGACGATTGAAAAATGGAATTTTCTCCATTGTTTAGCATTAGCATTTGTTAAATTAAACTGTATAAAATTACATTTTTTAACGCTTACAGCTCTATTTAATAAAAAGTGTAGTCTTTCCCCCCACATTTAATTATTTTTTATTGGTTATGTCAGGTAAAATCAGTGATCAACGTGGATGGCATGTGACGGCTATGTCACAGGATGAGCATTACTAAAGTTATGTTTAAAAAATAAACTCCACGTTTATTTTATAAATAGTGTTTTAAAACTCGTTTCTATAATACTAAATAATTCAATGTCCAATAATAATCAGAAACTGAAATGGGAAAAAAAATTACGTAGGGGAGAGTGGGGTCAATTGTAACATTTTTTACTTAACTATTTTTAACTAACAAAAAATCCATGTGGTTATCAGGAAAGTACGANGTGTCTAAATATTATTATTATCATTCTTTTTAACAGAAACTTTCAGAATATTAGTTTCGTAGCAAATGGATTCTTTTCAGAGGGGGGTGTCAAAGACATTCGAACTTTCGTTTCCAACGAGACCCTAGTGTACATACAGCGAAAATATCTACGTTGATTTTGCATGCACTTTAGTAACCAAAAATATATTACCATTTTTAAATCACACAATAAACTCTAAGCTAAATTATTTTTGATTAAATAGATCTATATTCTAGAGAAATCACAAATGTTATCTTTGAAATAAAAAAAAAAATAATCGACTACGAATTAAGCTGCAACGATGCGTAATGTTGAACCTAAAGGAAAATCCGTTTCTTTAAACATAGCACTTGGATGGTTTGAAAAATAAAGCTACAATGAGTTTCCACATGCTTCCTCTACTAACAATAGCTGTGCCAAAATTTATTGCAATCAAGTGGATTGTATAGAAGAGCATACGGGATAAACAAACTGACAATCATTCGTTTTTGTTTTAATCAATATGTTTAAAACAAATATGTAATTGTATAGATATTTATATGAAAAATCTATATTTGTTATGCATTACTCGATCTTTTTCATGCTTCGTTTCACTTTCAAACATCCCCCTATATTACACAATGTTACAGATCTATGAAATGCTTTCAATATTTTTTTTTATCTTTGATGGTTAATTTTTAAAACATCCTTAATTACATACTTTTTAATCAAAATAATGAATCTCTCTTTTCTGAAAGTCATTAACGCGAGCTATTGCATTTATCTCACTTCTTGTTGTACATGTAGATTTATTAAATACACCTTGTGCGCCACCTAGGAACCAAATATAGAACCCGACACTCGAAATTTTTGCTCTGTTACAATCGTACCCTGTTAGAATTGACCCCACTCTCCCCTACTAATTAGCGATCGCAACGCTCGAATACGCCATCTGGGGAGAGACCGGTTTCATGCCTTTGGCCCTTCTCCTCTTTTCAGTTGTATAGGAATGCACTACGATATTTTCCCTTTTCTCAATATTTTTCCTTTTTATTTAATAAAAATATTTTTTAAAATTCCGTGATGCTTTTCTTTAGAACTATGTTAAATGTAGTTTTCAATTCCATATAGTTTTCAAACTTAAAAGATTTAAATCTATGTGAAAATCAAGAGAGAAACTAACGCACTTCCTTCTTCAATGACTATCCAAAGCATGCGAAGTGTTGCCATAGGTAGAGCTCTACGTCACCTGCAGCCCATTTCGATCGCCAATAAGCAAAATTAATGCGGGAAAGATAAAAACTCGCTGAAGAACCGTAAAAAATCACCTTGCCATATTAACGCCAATGATATTCAATTCATTTTGGTGACATGTACTAAGATGATAGGACGGTATTTAGTGCTCAAATATTCAAATATATGTAACAAGAGACCTACAGTAGGTAGTAGGGAGAGAAAAAAAATTTTTAACGACCCCCTAAAGGGATACGTGCAGGAAAAAATTGCACGATTGTGGTAAATTTTGACTATCATGAACTGGTCTCGAACAGCACTATGCCAAATAAAATTAATCTTTAGTTCGATGGGAAAAATTTCGAAAAACGTATCTTTTTGTTAGTCTAAATAACATAAAACCATCGTTATGGGCAACAAATAACAATTAAAAACTAATAACAAACTATTTCAACTTTATTAATTAAGACGATTCGCGTCTTTTGGTTTCGTGCATGATTTTCATTTATTACTCATTTAGTAGTCATCATCCCCCCCCCCCCCAACAAAGAAATTTTTAAAATTAAATTAGAATAATCTTTTTTTATTTTAAATAATGCATGCGAATTATAACAATACGTAAGTTTAATGACTGATACAATGAAGCATTGTTGCAATAATGGTTAAAAGTTTTTTTTTTTTAGTGAAACTGTTAACAATGACATCCTAAGGTTTTAAAAGGCAACTTTTTCAATTATTACATTCCCTTTGAATGTTAACGTCTGACGTTTAATGTTTTAAGATTTCATTTGATAAAATGAGCGAATTGTACAAAAAAACTTTGATACACCACTGGAAGTTGGAGAGAATGAAGCACCCAAGGCCACGACCCCCAGAATGTAAGTATAGATAATATTATTATGTATATTTTATTAAATTCCTAATCTCTCTTAACAATGATAAGCAAGCAGTACTTGGATTTCGACAAACCTTTTACAAATAATTAGAAATAGGCTTTCAGCTCTTTTTTCTTATCCATTACATGTACCAGGTAATTTATTTTTATAGTGTAAACCAGTGTTTCCCAAAGTGTGGTACGCTTACCCCCAGGGGTACGGGAACAGTTTAGCGGGGGTACGCGTTCTTATGCAAAATATCTTCTAACAAACGAAAATTTCACAAAATTTTATTTAAAAACAAAGTTTGCCATGAAAATTTACGATTACGTATTTTTCTATTGGCTATTTTTTGCAGAGTTAACAGTTAGTAGTGTCAACAGCCAGTTGTGATTTTTAACTTTCGAACAATTTTTTTATAATAAAAAATACATTCATTTTTTTTTTATTAGTGGTACACAGTGTTACGAAAAAGTTAGAAAGGGCAGCCATAAGTTTGGGAAACACTGGTGTAAACTGCTTGCTTTTCGATAAACATTTTACAACTAATATGAAATAAGTTTTCAGTTCTTTTTTCTTATCCATTATATGTGTCAGGTAATTCATTTTTATAGTGCAAACTAATATGACTATAGGTTTTTGAAACTCTTTTCACAGAACATGTTCTCACTGATATATACACTAGTTATCATAAATTAAGGGAAAATTACAAAAAATAGCGATAACTCTCCCCGAAATGAGTCAATCCCAATGAAATTTGAACATCTTGCCAAATAAGAATTATCAAGTAAAACTGCAATACGTAAATTAGTGGCGCTGCAATGGTAGGACTTCATCTGCAATGAGAATAAAATTGTATGTTTGATCGCAAGGCTACGAATTTCTGTGTTTCCGAAATTAGAAATTCGAGATAGCCAATTTTAAACAATGCCCTCCAGGCGTCATTTGTCCGAAGAACTGCGATGGAGATCTACTGGAAGACTAGAGGCAGGACAATGTCAGATATCTAAATGTGAGTCTGTGGCTCATGGACTTTGGCAACAATTTCTAACTAAAGGTTCGGCATTCAGAAGGCTCAGCCAAGGACTGCCAAATGCTGCGAAGAACATCGATGACCGATATTTTTTGTTATGAGCACGAAGGAATAGAACCGCAACTCCGAGTCAACTCAGATCTTCCCAACGTCTACTGTACGTAGAAAGCTTAACGAGCGATATATGCTCAATAGGCGAACAGACACTTGCGTACCACTCTCGTCACGCCATAGAAGGTAATACTTGTGATAGGTGCAGCAACATATCCATTAGATGACTGTTATTTTCACAGACGAGTCCAGGTTTAGCTTCCAAAACGTTCTGTGATTTAAACAGAACCTGGAACCAGATATCATCCATCAAACATCTGTAAAAAAGATGTATACCAATGAGGCAGTGTCTCCGTGTGTGGGGTGGTATCACTTTAGGTGGACGCGTGCAGACCTGCTTGTCATCTCTATGCTCACGAGAATAGAGATGACATCCTTGATGTTTGTGTGAACTCTTATGCTGGTGCAATAGGTAAGGATTAACTAACAGGACGGTAACGCATCGTTGATGATTATCTTCAGCAACAAACAATTCAGCATGTGGAGTAGCCAGCACGATCACAGGACTTCAATCCTATCAAGGATGTTTGGGTTGCTTTAGGAAGACGTGCATCTGCTCTCAATCATCCTCTTCTGACCCCGCGACTGCTTTGCAAGAACAATAGCTTCTTGCACTTGTAACGGATCTGGTAGAACGCATAATTGAAAGCATCACTGTATGTACTGTAGTTATTATATGCACTATAATGTTCAATTATCTTATTTAACAAGTAATCCAGTATTGAGGAGTAACCTTACCAGGGCACATTTTGAATCTATTTTTTAAAAAAAGTACTTGGCATTCGAATTTTTTTATTGAGTTGCACCTTACAAAAAATTCACAAAAATAGCTCGCAAACTTTCTGAGTCACAGTAAAAAAATTTAATACAGTAGAACCATAATCTATTGGTTCTCATGGAAGCATTCTTTGCGAACAATAGATATGGGAAAACAATAAATGCTAAATTAAATAATAATTAATAATAAAAATTAATTTTTAACCAATAGTTAAGAAAATTATCAAGAAACCTAATTTATATTACTCAACCATAATCTTAACGACAAAATCACAATATAATTATGAATAAATCGTAATTGTTGCCACAACTGCATAAATAATCTTAAACAAGAATTTCTGTTTTTTTTAGACAAAGGGAGTGCATGGATCGAAGAGATGAAAAGAGCCAAATCACCGGAGAAAAAAAGAAAAACTCGAAAACGTCACCTAGACATGGATGAATCAGCTCTTTTAAACAACCTCTTCGGCCGTACAAAAGTGGAAAATACCCTAGATGCCTCAACTTTTGAGAAAATTGAGAAGAAACCGAAAAAGAATTGGTTTAGTCGATTGGGCTTTGCATGCAGAAAAAAAGGTGACAAGAAAGTCAAAACATCTGACAAAAATGAGCCGATCGTTGGATCATCTTCCAAAATTGATTCTAAAAAAAGAAAGAGTTGGTTCCATGTTCCGACACTCCTTCAACAGAAAAAAGGGAATAAAAAAGTGAACCATCCTGATATGTTGACTGCCTTTCAAAACTGGATAAATAAGAGGAGAACCCGAAAGGGTAAGTATTAAAAAGAAAAGATACGAATACTTGTTTCATGTTTGAAATCTAAAAATAGACTAATAAAACGAGGTAATACTATTATTTAAAACAAATATTGAATAATACTTGTTAGACATAAATTTTTTCTCCAAAACTGTTAGGAAAAAAAATTAATATAAGAATTATGTATTACATATTTGTATACGAATCATAATTTTATCTCTTTCAATATTAAGTTGTTTCAAATAGACTTAAAGCCAAACTTTTTTATTATTGAAAGAAATAACGATATTTATATCCACCGGGTCATCACTTACTTATCAGGAACTTTACTCCAATGAAAAATATAGACAAAAATCAATCTGGCAAACTCCACCTACACACCAATGGTATACGGAAACATCTCCTGGTACCCTTCTGGGAATCAATTGTGATTGAAGCTCCCAGACTGACTTGGCCAGATTCCTAACTGGTCACCTAAAATGTCTAACATTCGAATGTGGCACAAAAATCTACCCAACTTGTAAGAAATGTTGTGTTCATCCAGCCTCACCAAAACATATACTTGATTGTGTCGGACTGTCCAGGGCGGACTTAACTTCCGATCCCATCGACTTTCTGGCGGTCAACAACTTTTTGGAGTTGATCTGACTAATGTCAGATCTATGAGGATAAGCAACAATAACAATGATATTTAAATTTAAAAAAATTTATTCATAACCCAGTTTCTTTATTTTACAGATAAGAAGAAACCTAAAAAGTCCAATGAGGAAAATGAAGAAGTTTCATTGGTAGAAAAAAGAAATGTGCTGTTAGGCGAAAAGCTGAGAAGTTCTACTGATGAGCCTCAAACTGAGGACAGTGAGTCTAAAATATACGATGATGAGGAGTACTTAAAGTACACAGAATGGGTCGAAGAGGAATATGAACGTATCTTGGCCCTTTTTAATTAACATGATGACACAAAGAACTAAGATTTAAGTAGTGACACCCCGAACATTGACAACCCGATTACTGAAAGCCTGAATATTGACAGCTCAACTTTTGACATAATGGACTCCCCAAATATTGACAGAACTAACATTGACAGCCTGAAGATTGAACTCCCGAATATTGACAGTCAGAATATTGACTACACAAAAGAATGTAAAAACATTTCTACCATGAATGAAAACAATGGAATATTCAGCTCATTACATGATTTGGATGATGAACTTAGGTAAAGTGATATTTTCAATTGTATTTCATTTAGTTCTAAATTTTATTTGCTGTTATAATACAAATAAGTACAATATATATGCAATGAAACATAAATAATTTGCTAATATTCATAAAGCATCAATTTTGTTTCTTTTTTTTTTTTGCCTTTGCAATATATAATATTGAATGATGTTAATATTTGTAAATGTATCAAAAAATTTTAATTTTAATATTAATTTAAAAAGGATTTTAAAAATACAGTTAACTTTTTAAATCAAGTAATGTCTATCATTTCTAATGTCTAAAAAAATAATTAACTCAAAAATGAATTCACACGTTTTTACAATGCTAAACAAAACAAAAATTGCTTCTTAAAAAAATTCTAAGTAACCATAAGACATTGTTGCACAAAAATTGTGTATTTATGTTAAAAATTAGTAGAAATATTAAAAAAAAAAACGTTTCTTAAGTTTTAAAAAAAAACTTAAAATATAAATTTTAAATTCAATTAAAAATGTTGGGACAAACAGTTTAAGGAAATGGATATAAAATCATTCGACATCCTGATGCTCTATTCAAACATGTAATTGTTTTTAAGTTTAATACAAGTAGTTTTATAATGATTGACTTGACCTAATACTAACTTTTCTTGATTTAAATATTATTCAACTAATATATAAAAAAATACAACGATATTAAATATGAATATTCTTAATTTAAAATTATTCTTAACTATTAATTTAGATATTATTCTTTGACCCTTAATGCGCATACCTTTTTAGTTTCACTACTTAAAGACTCTAAAAATATGTGTTTTTTTAAAGGAGTTAATATTATTGTATCTGTATATGTACAGATCTGTATATTTACAGATATGTATCTGTAAAATTTAAAGTTTTGTAAAAGCAGGTTTAAAGATTTAAATCTAATTGAAATCTATTTTAACAGAATAAAATAATAGTTTCAAGATATTTCTGCTTCAGTCAAATTTTACAGAATAGTTTCTATCACAATCTTGAATATTTTAAAACAGTAAAATAACACACTGTATTTTCAATTTCACAGAAGAAAAATTTATTACAGATACAGTAAAATAAACTTAAATATTTTTTCCTTATAATAAAAAAAAATTCATTTTACTCCATATCTTTTTTTTTTATTACCGAAACAGAATATTACTGGGTGCAGTTTATTTTATAATTTATAAGAAACGCCTTTAAAAATTATAGTATCATAAAATTTTCTGCATCATATTTTGAAAAATTTTGAATATTATTATTAGAATTTAAAGAGAATAAAGTGCATCAAAATCAGAAAACTATTACATGTCTTACATTTGAATAACCTAAATCAAATAAAAAATAATGCTTACTTCAAGCTCATAGGAATCTTAATCTTCATACGTTTGCCTTAATTAATAGTAACTTCAATTTTTTGTTTATGTAGTACTGGTAAATATTTTAAACAAAAATTTAATAAAGCTTTATGACAATTATTTTGTAAAAAAAATCTTTAGAAAGTATGATATTCAGAATTGCAATATTGATTATTTTCAGCAAAATGTATGCCAAATAATTTTATATATTGAACCTAGTATTTTAAAATTCTCATTACGTATTCCTGCGCAAATTTTTTAAGCAAAAAATAATCTAATTAAAAATTATTATGTTTTGGAATATATTCTTCATATAATTACAAAAAAAANAATGAAAAAAAAAATAAATAAATAAAAAAAATAAATAAAAAAAAAAACTAAGGTATTCATTTAATGAATATCATTAAATCTTAATTTTAAATATTAATATTCTTTACATTGATGGAAATTTTTGTGTTCATTGAAACAAAAATTAATTACTAATTAATTAATTTCAGTGATATTTTGAAGAAGTTCATCAATGAACTGACAAACTGATAATGGATTATTGACAACCCCAAAATTGACATCACGAATATTGACCCCTCGAATATTGACATNACTAGTGATAGTGACCCCTCGAATATTGACATCTCGAAAATTGACACCCCAAATATTGACATCTGGAATAATGACATCTCAAAAATTGACATCTCGAATATTGACATTCCGAATATTGACATCTCGAAAATTGACATCTTGAATATTGACATCTTGAATAATGACAACTTGAATAAAGACATCTAAAAAAATTGACCTCTCAAAAATTGATATCACGAATATTGACATCCTGAATATTGACACCATGAAAAATGACATCTTGAAAATTGACATCTCAAAAATTGACATCTCGAAAATTGACAACTCAAATATTGACAACCAGTTTATTGACAGCCTAAATGTTGACAGCTCAACTATTAACATTTGTCTATTGATATCCTAAATATTGACAAGCCAAATATCGACATACCAAATACGATCATTCACGGGATATTCAGCTCATTGGATGATTTGGATGAACTAAGGTAAAATGAGATTTTCAATTGTAGTTTGATTAGTTCTAAATTTAATTTACTGTTATAATACAAATAAGTACAATATATATGCAATGAAACATAAATAATATGTTAATAAAATATCAAATTCTTTCTTTTTTTCTACCTTTAATATTAATTTTAAAAGGATAGTAAAACTACAGTACATTTTTCATATCAAGCAATGAATACTATATTACTACTTGGAAATAAAAAAAGAACCAAATTTTTACCATATAAAACAAACATTACCTCCGGGAAAAATTTCTATGTAATGGATGATAATTGTACATATCTTTAGAAAATATCACATTATATTGTTTTACTAAAAATGTGTATTTATGTTAAAAATAGTTCAATATAGAATTGATTTCACAAAGACTTTTAAAGTTTTATAAATAAATAAAAAAATTTCATGAAGTTAAAAAAAACTTAATATAATAATGTTTAAATCAATTTAAAATTCAATTTTACCACATATCTCTTTTTTAAAAACTAAATTGAAAATTTTTTGGGTTTTTAATTTGATTTCATGTTATATTTTAAATGAAACACTTTTAAAAAGTATGACAAAATTTCAGTTTTGCAACATATTTCTAAAACTGTCATAAATTATCATTAGAACTTTGAGAGAATAAAATGTATCAAAACCAGAAAACTAGCTGAAATTTTATCTTTGAATAATCTAAACCATTAAATAATGGATCTTAACCTTTATGTGTTTGCCTTAACTAATTGTAACTTTAATTTTTTGCTTTTGTAGTACTAGAACTTTATTTTAAACAAAAATTAAATAAAGATTTATAACGATTACTTTGAAATTGCAATAGAGGTAATTTTAAACAAAATGCTCATATTCTGCATGTCAGGGGTCTTTCTAGTTTTTTTTTTTTTTTTTTTTTGAAACCTACCTATTTTGTGAAAATTAAGACATAATTTGTGAAACTTAAAAATTACATTAAAAAATAAATATGGTAAAATAGGGTTAAAAATATATGGTATAATAAGAAAATATTTAAATATTTTTTGAAAATGTGTTGTGAAACTACCACTTTTCATGAAATTGAATTTGTGAAAGTACCACTAAATGGCAGTAAATTTGCTCTGAACAGACCCCTGATAATGAATCTAGTAGTTTGAAATTCTGAATATGTATTCCGGTGCAAATTTTCTTAACAAGATAAAAAAAAAGAATAAAAATTCACAAAACAACATAATTTGGAATTCCAATAGGTGTGAACATATTTTGGAATAGATTCTTCATATAATTTGGAATAAACTTTTAAGCTTTTATATTCAGCGCATTTAAAAGCTGTTAACCATTAAATCTAAATTTTAAGATGCTATACATCGATATAAATATTTGCATTCATTAAAATTATAATTAATTACTCTAATTTCCGTGATATGGAGAAGAAGTTTATCGTAGAACTGACAAATTCATTACAGATTTATATGATGGATAATGGATTGATTCGCTAAAGAATTTGCATAGATTTATGGATGATTATGAAGTATTTATGGCTTTAGACAAGGATTTACAAGTAGATTTATACGACGACCCAACACAGGTATATTGATTGGCAGAACTACTGACATCTATAATTTAAGACTAAGTGAATTTAGATGAGGATAATTCTGCATTTCTGATAAGGAGGATTACTATGAGGACAAATTGATTTATACAAAGACCTAAAAAAAGGCAAATTCATTTTCTGAATTGACGAAATTTATAATTTTATACGGAATGAATTTATACAAGAATAATTCTATATTCCTGATAGAGACAATTACTATGAGGATATAGTGATTTTCTGAATTGATGAAATTTATAATTTTATACAGAATGAATTTATACAAGGATAATTATACATTCCTGATAGGCACAATTACTATGAGGAAACATTGATTTAAATGAGGACCAAAAAAAGGCACAATGATTTGTCAAATTGATGAAATTTTTATCAGATGGACTTATATGCAAATAATTTTATATTCCTAATAGAGACATTTACTATTAGGAAATATTGATTTACAGGAAGATCTGATAAAAAGATATTGAGTTGCTGAAATGATGACATTTATAATTTTATATTGAGTGAATTTATATGAGGATTATTCTATATTCCTGATAGAGACAATTACTATGAGGATATAGTGATTCATACGAGGACTTGATAAAGACATATTAATTTCCTAAATTGACAACATTTATAATTCTACACAGAGTGAATTTATATGAAGATAAATTCCTGATAGAGACAATCATTAGGAGGAAACATTGGTTTAAATGAAGACGTAAAATAAGTCACATTGATTTGTTGAATTGATGAAATTTATACCAGATGGATGGAGAATAACTTTATATTACTACTTGAGTACAGTTATGTGGAGATAATTGATTTAAATGAGAATTCAAATAAAGCCATAGAGAGGTTACTGTTGTATATGTTTCTTTCATATTTATTTTGTCTGAATTACTCATTACTGTCTGAATTACTATGACATAAACATAGCTTCCATCATAGCTAGGAAGAAATCCAAATTTCTTCCTAGCTATATTTTACGAAATATAAATTTTCTGTTATCTGTTGTACAAAATATTTTACATATAGGGACTTTTATTATAATCAAAATACAAAAATTTTATTACAGTAAACACTACAAATGGTCTGCATTATTTTCCATTTATAATTGACATTAAATGTATACTCAAATTTTAAATATTTTTCATTACATTAACTCATAATTTTGAATACTAATAAACAATTAATTTATTAGTGATAGTTGAAAGTCTTTTTTTTTTAAATTAGTTTAAAAAGAGAATTCTAAATAAAAATAAACAGAAAATTTTAGAACCAAAAAAATTAAATAAGTTTTAAACTGATTATTATAAATGAAGCTTGCTTCATTATGTATTAGTAATATTTAATAAAATATTCAAGCAAGCAATAAATTGTGTAAAAATTATATTTCCATAGGGATTTTTCTAAAGAAATTTACTCAGCTTTAGATAATTTTCTAAAATATGCAAAAACTAGGAGAATTTTTATTAAATTAGTAGACCAGGAGAAACTGGCTAAGTCCTGTAGTCTACAGGTGAACCCAGTAGAGTTGGCAGTTATGCATAAATATTATTTCTACATTTGAAATTGATTAAATTTTAGTAAATTAGATCTTTTGAAAAAAAAGTTTCTTAAACATACATTAATACAAAGATAAAATGAAGTAACATAATCTATGACAAACCTTTTGATCTATAACAGCAGTTAAAGGCATGACATCAAAGCATTCGTTAATTGCATTCCATATTTCGGTGCCACATTTTTCACCAAATTTGGACAAACATTCACTGAAAAAGTATGCAGTCATAAAATCAAAATGTTATGATTAAAAAAAAAACAATTAAAAAAGGGTAAAAAAACTAACTGACACAGAAAATTGTTCATAGAAGCTTATCAATTGAAAGAGTGATGCTGCTTTAAAAACTGATATAAGTAAACTTTTAACTGAATATATCTAACTCTTGTAGCTAATGTAAGCATACTTTTTTTTTATTTTCACTTTTAGCAATATGTAGCTGATAAAACTGTTGGAAAAATCCAGTAAATTTTACTTAATAATAGAATTTTATTATAAACAATTCAGAATTATATAGAACATTGCACACAAAGATAATTTTAAAGATTTTCAACAAAAAATAAAATATAAAAACCTCAGATATAGGCTCAATTTATTAAACTTTTTAATTGCAAATTATATGGAACAGAATGCAAAGTGTTTTCTGATTACAGTGGCAAAGTAATTATTTTTAAATTTTTTTTATTTATAAAATAAGGCAAACAAATTAAAATTTTGAAGTATTTAAAAAAAAACCTGAAAGTTTTACTATAACAGATTTTAAAGTTTGATTTTTCTGTCTTAAACAAAAATTATTTGAAAGTTTATTACTACATTTACATTAACACTCTTTTAAATCTGATCTTGAAATTAAAATTTTTCAAAAATTAAGTAGAACTAATTCAAATTATTTTAAGAATAAATTTTAGTAAATAATTTTTAGCTAGAGCGCATTTAAATCTCAACTGAAGCTCTAAGCTTAAATTAAAATTTCCAGAACAATGCAAGTCAATCTAGACCACTACTAACCAGTAGAATCTTTTAACAGTAGAAATTTCAACCACATTTCCACACAAATAAATTAACAGACACAAAAAACTAAAAAAAAAATAAAACGATGAAATAAAATGAACTAAAAAAAAGAAAATAGTTTTATTTCTGACACATCAAAAACAAATAATGTAGGGCACATAAGTTTATTTTAAATGTGGCTAAATTATAATTATCATCTCTTTTTATGTTCTTTGAAAAATGCAGTTTTTTAAAATTTTTCATTTTAGTTTAACAGTTTTTTACAATATAAATGAGTTATGATAGTTTTAATAATTTTTTTAATAATATTTCAATCAGTGATTGTATTCCTTATAGAGCTACAGGATGAAAGGAATTCCATTTCTATTAAATGATTTTTATATCACAGTTAGAAAACTGAATTTTTTAATCAACTCTGATTGCCTATGACCTTTTTTGTTTGTTTTAAACAACTAATACTATTCAAGCATTGCAATGAGATGAAATTATCATATGTAGATATTATGTAGATAAGCTAAAAATGGTTAGCTAGTTCTGTAATAATTTTAAAACTGTTGAAAAAAAAGTGGAATAACAAAAAATTTCAAAATATATTTCAGTGTGAATTTCAGATTATAAAATTGAAAGAAAAACATGAAATAGCATAAAATTGCCAGAAGTAAATGAATATGGAATGTAGAAGTGTTCTTACCCATGAAATGAGAACATTTGCTGCACAGATCGTACCTCATGGTTACCTCTCAACAGTAAAAATTTTTCAGGGGCCAAAATTTTTTGTGAAAACAGATATGCCACAACCTTTAAAAGAAAGGGAAAAAATATTAAAATTAACAAACAACTGTTGATGATTATTTTTAAAAGTTTACTCAAACATCAAAGTTTACACATCAAACTAAAAATCTAAAAAAGCAGTTTCGATATGAACACGTTGACTGCCGCGGCATCCATATTCGGGTGACAGCAACATTTCTGATCGGGTAGCGCCACCCATAATGGGGTGACGCTTATTTGATTACTTGTGACGCATATTCGTAAGCATTTGAAAAGATATTTCAAAATTTCACAGGAAGTACGAAAACCATTGAATTGTTATTAAAGTAATACAAAAGTGATTTATTAAGAAAATTATTGTGAGCCTCATAAAAGCTTTTTATTCTGCTGCTGTTTGACTCACTAAGAAATAAGTTTTACATTTTTCTTTTCACAATTTCAACGAATTAGGGTAAAGATTTTAAGTTCTATGCCTCTTTACTCAGCAAAGATTCAAACTGATTTGTGAAGCGGCGAAATGAGAAACAGATGCCCAGCAACGGAAACAAATGAACAGACATAATACCATGGAAACAAACAGAGTGAGATATTATTCTATTAGTTCCAGTTTCTATCAGTGGTTTAAACCACCTAGGCAGAAACTGCCAATCCCAGCTTGAATCACAGCCAATTTTTGATTGGCACCTTACCTAGGAAATAAACCAGGCCCAGACAATTATGATTTAAAATTATCATGATTAACTTAAAAATAGTGATTTACAAAAATGTAACGAAAGAAATGATAAAATTTGAAATATTAGAGATTTATTTCATAACTACATATTCAATTTTTTTTATTCAGCATTTATACAGGATTTATTTAGTAGACTGAATGGATTCCGCTTGGTTTGTCCTGGTTTAATCAAAAATTCTCCTAATCTTTGCATATTTTAAAATTTTTCTAAAACTGGAAAAAATTTTGAAATAATTCCTTTCAATATAAATTTCTTTTTTTCAGATTATTACTTGCTAGAGTACTTAAATAAGAAAAAAAATATTTCCACAGCAGCCAGTTGTTAGTCAAAAGGGTCACGAAGGCTTCATAATTTCATGACCTATGGTAGATGCTTGGGTGCAATTTTATAAACTTAACAACACAGCTGAATTAAGTAGACGTGAAGTATAGGCTTAAACAATATTACTGAAATACAGAAAGTGTAATTATCATTTCAAATGTTGTAAAGAAGGAACTAACCTCTACTCCGTGCTGACCTCTATCCACATAGTCACCGAGGAATAAAAAACTTGCAGGAGTGAGTATGGGTCCCATACGCCATAACGTCTTTTCAAAACAAATAAGATCAGAAAAATTACCATGAATGTCACCTGTAGAATTATTTTTTTATACAGCTTTATAAAGTAATGATTCTTTTAATATAATAAATAATATATTTTTTATTATTGAAGCTGTGTCTTTACACTTTTTTTCTAAACATTTATGACTCCATACCTGCCAACATTGGAGAAATAATAAAATAACGGAGATTTTACTAGCGACATTTTTTAGGCTAATAGTACGTCTTGCTACATCATGCTTAAGGATGTAAGTCAGAAAGAGAAATTCTCAATTAGAAATAATATAAGCACTTACATTTAGCGAGGTAACAAATATATGGATAAATCTTAATTTAAAGAAGACTTTTTTTAAACCATTATTTATATTTACTTAAAATATTAACACTCAATATACTGCAGTACTGACAATAGCACCATCTGTTGATTAATAAGCACAATCTGAATGTATTTTTAGCCATCAGTGGATATTTTGTCATCAAAATTTCTTTTCTTTTTTACTTTCTTGAACAAATACGGAGAAATTGAAGAATATACAGGGAAACCGGAGATAGTCATACAATATAGGAGTCCTCGGTAAAAAAAACAGGAGAATTGGGAGGTATGAGAATCTCAATATTTTAGAAATATAAATTCCCCAACTTTTCTGTCTTTCAGAAAAATACTCATGAAATTACAGACTATATTTTCGCTTTACATAGCAGCATTTAATCGGAAATAAAAAAATTTTTTATTCAATAAGTAATGAAGAATAATATAGAAAATTTGTCAAATAAAACCTTTGGTAAAAAACAAAAATCACTGAGTGAAGGTTTAACATTTTGATTTTATAATACACAAGTATAGAATGTATAGATAAAATAATATTTTGAACAAAATAAAAAAAAAATAAAAACTGAATGTAACATAGTTTGTTAATAGATTCACATCAGTCATATAGCCATCACATATCTTATTTATGATTAATCTAATTTATGATTATCTAATTTATGATTATTTGTAATAGTGGAACAAAATTAATTTAAAAAGAAAGTGTAGTTTAAATAAGGATAGGGTATACTCTCTGCTATGAATGAATAAATCTAAACAACCTGAGTAAAGCACAGATAAAGATTACAGAAATGGACTTGTTATAATTTCAATTAAACAAGAAATGTCTTCGTGTCGAAACACAAAATGACAGAAAAAAAGTAAAGAGAGAAGCATGTTGCAATAAGATACAAGTGGTTTAGCCAGTATGGGGAACAGAAACAAGCTTGAACAAGATTATAAAAGAATAAGAAGAAGCAGGTGTCTATTGAGTAATCTGCACTCTGGGGTCTTATAAAAGTGCTAGATGTAGAAACTAAATTGGATTTCTAAACATTTTGAAAAATTGGGATATTAAATCATTAACTAAATTATTAAAACTTCTCAAAATATGAAATATCTCCTTAATTTATGAAAACTTAATTTAAATACATTATAATTCAATTATTAAATCAAAAGCTATAAAAGTGTTCTTTTTTTTTGTACTTTTTCCTACCTCCAGTAAAAAAAAATTTTAAATTTAAACTTAAAAAATGCATCCTTCAATAAATTTCATGACTAACCTTTATGAAATTCAAACAAATAAGACCCAAATTTTTCCTTAAACTATTTAGATTGATGTAATTCAGACTTCGAATACATTTTTACTGTACTTAACTTTTTTGCCTAAAATTTTGTAATGAAATATTTCAATAGACATTAAAAACTTTACATAATTTAAAGACAATAGAAAAATAGATAATATTTTATCAAACATAAAAACTATTTGAGTTCCAATTTAATAATTAGTTATTTCGAAAATTCATTACTTAATGCTTAGAAGAACCTCCAAAATATAAAATTTCATAATAAAATGTTTCTTATAACCATGAAAAACTAAAAAATTTAAAGACAAACACTACAAAATAGCAAATATTTTATCAATTTATGAGATTAAAAAATTAATTAAAATTTAATGATGAATTATTTTAAAATGCCTAGATTGAATACTCACCAAGAACATAAACAGGTGAGCTGACGTGAAGCAAACGATCTTCTTTGCAAAACAAGTCGTAAACAGTCCGACAGATGTTCAAANAAACCCAACTAAAAAAAAAAAAAATATTTGGAAATAATCTTAAAAAGAAGACAAAACGATGAAGTAATACACTAATAATTATTTCCAAAATGATGGTAAGATAAACATCTTTAAAAAAAGAAAGAAAAATCCAAAAATCTTAAGAGGAAAAAAAGAATTTTTTTTTTTTAAATGGTGGGAAAATTTATCGAATTTCGTTCCGGTTTTTTGATTTTCCGGTTTTCTGATTTCCGGATAACGGGTTCTGTACTGTACTATAATAATTTTCAACACATCAACTCCATGTCTATACAGTAGGACTAGGCGATGTTAAGGCTTTAGCATCGCGATGTATCGTGAAGCTAACATCGCGGTATTTTGATACACCATTATATTTCGGTACATTAATGTCTTACATTTAGTACTGCGTAAATTTGCAATCAGTAAGTTGTATTTTCTTTCAAATCAATGTTGCATTTTTTAAATAATTATTTCTCAATATTTAAAGGCGTGGATATCTACAACAGGGTGTGTAACCATATCTTTCAACAAAAAATAAGCACCTTTTAAGTACTTTTCAAGCACTCAAAAAATATTTTTAAGCACTATATGCATTAACAAAATGCAACATAATTTTCAAAGACTTTACAGGATCATGATAAAATAACTAGCTGACAAAGAACACTTTTTTTTTTATTAATTAGTCCTTATAAAAAATTCAAGAAATTTTTTGATTAGATATCAGAGGGTGGAAATGAAGCTTGAAATTGAGAAATGCAGCAGAGTTGCACATGAGAGTGCAATAATATCACCGAACTCAGCTGAGTCGACGCACAAGCAGACACGCAAGTTTTTTGTTAAACAGGTAAAATGATTGGCGCTTTCATACGCTATGGACCGAAAGTACGCCAAAATAGATTGTGGTTGAATGAGTTGTGAAAACGTTGAATAGAACAATGAGAAAATCATGCTTTTGCATAATATGTGGCAAAAATCGACAAGGTAAAGAAAAAAATCTCATTTTGGAAAAGGGAAAATTAAGCAATTTTTAAAAAACCCCAATGAAAAATGCACCTTCAAGGGCTCTTAACAAACCAAAATCTAAAATAAGCACCTTTAAGTACTTTTTAAAAACGTTACGCACCCCGTACAAAGTAACGGGGAAAAATTATTAAACTGCTGGATTGATTGTAAAAAATCAACAAGACTTGCACACAAACAATTAAAAGAAAACCCTTCCATAACTAAGAGATTCAACAACACTTCGATTCTCAATCACATTCGGATTCATCATGACAGTAAAACAATGAGTCACAATGTAAAAAAGGAGGGGAAAGATGACGATCATCGCCACAGCTATTACTGCACACTTACGGAGGAAAATGTCATTCGAGCGAGTTTGAAGACATTGACGGACTATCGAGAACAATGCTCAACATTGCGCGTGTAGACATCGATGTCAACGATACATCAGGAAATATTATACACATCTAAAAAAAATCAAACTTTTTGATGCTTTGAAAAGTTTCCAATATAAACATCGGATCGGCGATGAACGCATAGAATCGATATTTCCAAATGCATCAATTTGACTGCTCAGTCCTACTATAAAGCAAACTAAAATTAAAAATTTTTTAATGCGAAGTGATATCACAAAGTTTTATACAATGGCAAAGCCTCATATTTCAAAGTTTGTGTCATAAAGATCTACTATTTTCAAAATAATGTAACATTTTGTTGCAAACAAATGGGCAATGAAGGTACAATAAATTCACAATTATCCAAATTTTGCAAAGAAAATTTTTCTGCAATTAATAGGATAATATATCTCATAGTTTGGGTGCTGAATGTAAAAAAAAACAAGGTTCAATTACAAAAAAAAAATAAAAACATTATTTTAGTCAGTATAAATAAAATATGAAAAATAGCTGTTTTCAAACACTTAAAACTCATTTTTGTATATAACAGCTTTTTTGTGCAATAATGGCCAACTGAAGTTTGACAGTCTATTTTTTGTCAAACTGTCTTGGTCCGTACCTTTTTCATAGCAGCCAACACGGATAAGAAAAATATCTAGTAGATTGTACGAAATAATATAAATTTCATGATAATTGTTGCAAGATATACTAAATATTTTACCCATAGGATATTTTAGGGATTTTTATAGTCATCAAAATAGAAAAACTGCAATGTTTTTCAGTTATGATTTCACATTAAATAATCCTGAAATGTTATGTATTATGTTTATTCATAATTCTGAATAGTAATAGGCATTTAATTCATCAAACTAAATTATTAACTAAATTTAACAAATGAGGCTCGCTTTATTATGTATTAGTGACATTTACTTAAATATTCAAGCAATAATCTACACAAAAATTTTATCTCAACAGGGATTTTTTAAGGAAACTTACTCAATTTTAGGAAATTTTCTAAAATGTACAAAAACTAAAAAAAAAAATTTTTTAAACCAGTAGACAAGGAGAAACTGGTAAAATTCAGTAGTCTACTGGAAAATCTAGTAGAGCTGGCAGCTATGCTAAAGAATTCGGCAATACTTTGAAAATATTGGAGCACTGTGTAAAACTATATTTTTTAAGTCAAAGCACATTTATAATTTTGAAGTATACTCAGCAGGCTTCTTAAAGCAATAAGGAAAGTGTGAGTTTATCATAAATAAAATAAACTTCTTGGCACATACATTTACAAATCCCAAACACAATCAAAAAAAGAAAACACATAATTCTTCAGAAGATAAAAAAAAAACTTACAAGATTGAATGAATCAACAGATGATACTCTTTCAAGTCTTAATTTTGAAGAGATCTTCACTGTATTACTGAAAGCTGATGTTCCTACAACAAAACATTTCAGAAATTTAAAAAGAAAGTCATGGAAGAAAGTTATAAAAGAAAGTCGAGCAATGTGGTAATAAGAGAGTTTTAAAATAAAATGTGCAGATAAGTATGCATTATTAAAAATACAAAAGCTGTGTTGAAATTATTTTTAAGAAATAGTGCAATCAAATTTAAATATCATTCTCAAATGAATTAGAAGGCTTTTAGAACGACTCTAAAAAAATTTCGAAATGGCCAAGTTGATCAAACTCTTTGTGTTCTAAAAAAAGTGGAATATAATTATAAACATTGAAAATTATTTTACTAGCTAATAATAAGTAAAGAATGGAGGACTAATTTTTTCTTTTTAATACAAGAAAATGTAACCAATAAATTTAAGAAAGTCAACAAACTTGTTTACTTTGAATCTTCTTAGCTAATTATTATTACCATAAATTGAAAGATTGGTTATTTTCCAGGATTTGGTTGAAAATGTGGAAGAAGTTTCCTAATTTATATATTTTACTTTTGTTATAATTTTATGACCATCGTTGAACAGCAACCCAATTTTCAGGGTTACGACTACTAATGTTGTAATTTTGAACACAATCCAGAAGACAAGGGAACTCCTGGATCAAGTATTGGGAGAAATTAGCCTTCGTGGAGGACTTTTTGAGGGAACTAACCAGCATTTGCATTACATGGAGAGGAAGACCACGATAACCTCCCACGGTTAGCCTGATGGCAAAGGGACTCTAACCCATGATCCGTCTACCACTGAGGATATTTCACGTCAACATTGTGTTCGGTGCGGGCTGTATATGGATTCCTATCGACAAGCCATTGCTGGGATTCGAAACCGGTTCACCTCATTGGAAGGTGAATGCTCTATCCCCTTAACCATTGTGGCTCTAATTTATTTATTTTTTATATCTGTCACTGAACAGCCGACCCAATTTTAGGCTTACGACTACTGATGTTCAACTCTGTAATTTTGAACCCAATCCAGAAGACATGGAAACTCCTGAATCAGTATCCCCAAAGGTATTGATTTGTTATGGGAGCATGGAGGACTTTGCGACTTGACAGATTTAACGTGGATCAGTCACCATTTACTACAAGGGGAGTCTTTGGCCGGCAGGGATCGAATCCACGACCTCTTGCACATGGGCCCACTGCCCTACCAACCAGGCTATCCCAGCCCAATTTATTTACTTGCAAAAAAAACAAGTTTTTGACATGTCCAGGTTTTACTAACTTTGTGGGAACCCTAACAATTAATTTCAGACAAAATAAATAAAGTGCATGTTTGAAATTAAAACTTTACTTATTATAAGATTATTAAAAGAAAATGCATGAAATTTTTCGACAGAGAAACAAAAATCAATTTACCTTCCATATCCCATAATGAATTTACATCGATCAGAGTACCTGAACGACGCACCTTAACTGAATGTGTGGCTAAATCATATTTCTTTCCTACTATGGTATTTCCATTCACTTTTTCCACTGGATGATCTGTAATTGTCAAAAATCACTATTTACTTTCTAAAAAGAGTAAAGTAACAGTTGAATACATAAATTTAAAAATCTATATATGTCAAAGACTCTAGTGAAAATTTGCTACAACCCCAAAATATTTAGTTTTTAACAGAAAACTAAAAAAATAACCTATTTTTGAAGTAAGCTTGATTTATATATAATTCAGAGATCTCCAAACTGTGAAACAAATCTGGTACTGCTAATTTAACCCACAGTAAATTAGAAGAAACACAACACCTGACTTCGATCCCTAATAGGAACTCGAAGCTCACTCAGCTCCAAATCGATGGATATCAGCTTGTCTGGGAAGTAAAAGCGATTTGTGCACACTGCTGACCCCATTACTACAATCTTGCAGTTGGTCACGAAATCGAAGAGCCTTAATCTCACAGCAGGTTGTCGTGGGAGTGCTTTATTTTACTATAACTGACATACATAATGAAATTAAATTATTTTAAATTGTATTTAATGATATGAAATCTGTTCAAAAAACTTGTATGAAATCATATACTCTCGCATCATCTCACTCAATGGTTAGATCAGTTGTTTTCGACACCTGGGTCAAGAACAGGATGGCATGCCGCTGAGGAGAAATAAATTTAATTATAATTTACAATAATTTTAATTTCAAAATAGTAATTTAGAGTAGATTTTTCCCAAAGATTCTAAACTAACCCATGGTTTTACTGAGCTTTCACAAAAACTGGACCCCCATGTGAAAAAAAAAACACGAAATTGTGAGTAGATTATTTTAAAATTTCACAAAAATTTAGGAACGAAGAAAATTTAAAAATAAAAAAAGACAAAGTAGGAAAAGATCTTTTTTTCTGCAATTGCTTATGTTTGTCAATTGTGAATGCATAAAATAAATTTTATTACTTCACTTTTTTCTTCCTTTAAAAAAATTCTATATTACCTTCAGAAATACAGACTTCTAACATCCCCATCCCATTTAACGTAAAAGCTATTTTAAACATACCTGGTGATGATTCACGTCTTCTTTTGTTGCCTGGTGACAGAGTATAAGAAGATGCCATCAAGCCTCTAAAAAATTGATTGTACTGTAGGATACATACATACAAAGGAAAACTTTGAAAAAATACTATCAAGACAAAACAATGAATGTGACATAAAAATCAAACTTTCTTTGAAAAAGTAATTCGCATTAGATGCAGTGGATAAATATGGCTATTACTATTGAATGTTTGCCACTTGATAACCGTCTTTTTTTATTTAAATAATAAAATAAACAAAAACTAAATATTACAAGATTCTCAATCTATTTAGGAAAAAAAATCCCAAGACTTCTCTCTACATTTCCCCAAGATATTTTAATTAACTTTTGGAAGATGATTTTTGACCAATTTTTGTCAGAAAGCCCCATAGTTATAAACAATCTTTCTTATAAGAAGTTATACTTAACTTGCCAGGATTTCAGTCACATTGCATGATTTTCATGGAACGGTAGAAAAAGATGCTAGGATTATTTAATTTGAGCCTATTCATTGTTTTAGTTGGTTCCAAGAATGACATGAAAGTTTTGGCTAAACTTCTTACATAGATAGATGATCTGGATGGCCACAAACATTCAAAAAAAATTCCCTAGAAATTCCTTTTTTTTTTTTTTTAAGACTGACTTTAGATATTTTTCTACCTGATGGTATAAATTTTATCATTAATTTTCAGTTATGTCTCACTCTTATACAGAAAATATATTACAAAAAATTTATATTTGCTATTAAAGTTGAAAATAAACAATTTGAAAAAAAAAAATATTGCATGTTCAGATTTTTTGGAATTATAGGTTCCTTAAACAATTAGGCATCTCAATTAATTTTTCCTGATTTTTCGGGTATTTCATTTAAATTCTCTGACCTTTCCAGATTGATAAAATTCCCTGTTCCAAGGCCACCCATTTAAAAAAAATATCACAAAATTACATCCCTTTTTTTTTAAAAAAAAAGCAAAACATTTAAATCAAGGATGGATGATTCTTTCATAAGTTTTTCATCTTAATACCCTGTCAATAAGCTTTTTTAAACTTGCCTCTATAAGAATAAAAATCGATAAAGATTACCGTTTTTGAAATATGGAATTCAGAACTGGTTCCAGAGCTCTCATTAAACTTGAAGTTCCTCTAAACTTTAACTGACCAACAACTTGTAGGAAACTTGCAAGGGGGAGCCTCCTATCACTTTGTACATGGAAGGTCCTAAATGAAAATTAAAACAATAATTATAACCAAATAATAAAAATAAATTTTTAAAATCAAAAAGCAGACAAATTTGCAGTATTAAATAACAAATCCAAAATTACTGCTAATGTAAATTTTTCATTGCTTTTTGCCTAAAGTCCACACATTGTATTAACTTCTGTACAAATTGTCTTCTTTGACTACGCCGAAATGGTTCACAAAAAGATTTGTTTTTCTCAGACGGCAATATTAGCCTCTTTTTCCTCTGGCAGGGTCAAGTTTAATTGCGTAGATATTAATGACCTATTCGACTGCAGTTGATTGTAACTAATAATTTTATTATTTTTTTAAAGAGGTGCAAGCTGTACTTTCTTTGTATTTTCAAAAAACTAAAACAAGTCACTGTTCTTTTTTTAATATAAAAACTGTTTTATAAGTAAGAATTAATATATTTTCACTTATTCAAAACATCTTATTTGGACACTTTACAGATTTCAGAAATCAGCTCTTAAACACAATTTAACCAAAGTACAACAAAAATGATTACTTTAAATGCATATCAACAGCATCATTCAATGCAGCTTCATCCATTGCAACTTGCTTCAGTGAATTAATGTCTGATACCATAGACCTACGCAGAATAAAAATAACATTTTAAAACACTTTTTATGATAAGAATCAAGAAGATTGCAAATAAATAAATTAATAATAATAATAAAAATAAAATAAAATAGAAAAACATATAAAATAAAAAAAAATGAAAAGAATACATATAAAACTGATTAAGAAGACTAATTTGCGCGGATCAAACTTACTTACTAGCAACATTTTTATTTTACATGCAGCTTACAATAAAATAGAAAAAAATGGGAGTAATGGACTAAGTGCAAATTTACGGAGATAATATGTAGCAGGGCTAAAGAAGTTTAAAATACTTAATGATAACTGTCCTTCTAAAATGTTCTTTTATAAACTTAATAATGCTAAGGCAATGAAAATATCAACTAAGAGCAGGTTCAGATGAAATTTTTTTGTAATAGGATTAAATAGAGATACATAATAATTGTCCTTCTAAAATGTTTTTTTATAAACTTAATAATGTAAAGGCAATGAAAATATCAACTAAGAGCAAGTTCAGCTGAAATTTTTTTAATAGGACTAAAGAAAGATACATAATAATTAAAGACTTAATTATGTAAACATCAATTAAGTGAGATATTTTTAAAGAAGGTTAAAAATGGGTACCTAATATTACTTTATTCAAAACAATTATTATAAAATACTAATATCAGAAGTACTTACTAATTATATATAGATTAAACACAAACAGATTATTAAGAGATCTTTAATTATAAATTGACTATATATACTGATTATACATGCAAATATTTCATTACATTATTATAAACAGAACTTTAAATCAAAAGTTTGCCCTCCTCTATCTGACCAAAGTTTGGTTCAACTGCTAGTAATTTTAGAAAAATTTATTGATGAATGACACCCTAATAAGTTACTAGAAAAATTCAACGTACCAGCCCCTGATATCAATCCTCATTTGGGTTTTAAGTTTCATTTCATTAACTTTTGTGTTTCCAAAATTTTCGGAAAGTGTAATAATTTTTTTTACACCTTTGGAAAAATAGTTGTTATATTCAATAAATAAACATAATTCTGCAAAGATATTTCTACGCAAAGTAGCTGATGCTAAGGTTTAGCAAATGGTTTTTCACAAAAACATAACAAATAAACTTTTTTTTTTAAAAAAAAGTTTAACTTTTTAATAGAAAGATAAGATTTTTTTTTCGATAGCTGTTATACAATATTTTCTTACTTTTTACATGTTGTTCTATCTTAATTAATTTCATTAATTAAAATTAATTAATTTTAATTTTCGTTAAATATTTCTCAATAAATTAATTTAAATGTCGTTTCACTTTAAATCCGTGATTCCCAAAGTGGTCTATATCGACCCGCAGGGATCGACGACAATCTGCAAAGGGTCCATGTCGAGAGAGAAAAAATTGGGGGTCCATGAAATGAAAATGGGGGTCAACGATAGTGAATCTCATATAAGCAGGTCGTGACTTTTAATTTTTGCATTTCATGAATGGAATAATCAACATACATTGATAGTACCTATTTACTTACATTATATTACCTTATAATATAAAGACATATATCTATCTACATTCTACATAATTTATAAAAGAAGCTATGAAGTAAAACTTTTATTAAAATTTAAGCTATTAGGACTTATTTGATATATGAAACTGGATTATTATAAACTAGCAGTTGCCTGCAGCTCAGCTTATGTACGTTTTTATTTTCTCTGAGTGTAAGGTTTTATTTTGTAACAAAAAAGTATTTTGCTGCGGTACATTGTCAACTCTTTAGCTAGCTAGATCTCCAATTTTATCTGTGCACAAGATCATGGGGAATTGTTACTTAGTTTTTACGAGAAAACGTAATAAACATACCGACAATACACTACTACGGTTTTGTATACAAACTTATTTCCGCAATTATAATATTAGTAGTGGAGTATGGGTTTTATAGTGCACAATTTTATTCCATTTACATATTAATTAAATAAAATCAGTAATTAAATTCGTTTGAATTTAATTAATAAATGTATAAAATTAACATGTGTTTTTTTCTTAAGTTTTTCACAATACACTTCACTACAGTTAGAAATTTAAATCTTTCACAGTGAGTAGTACTATACCAGCTGTCATAAATACATTTGAAGTTGATGAATTTACAAAAAATCAATATCAGGTATCTACCTAAAACTGAAAAACATGCCAAGGGGTCTACGAGACAAAAAAGTTCAGGAACCGCTGCTTTAAATGTTGTCCCAAAGTTAGATAGACTCGTATTTATATGTTTGATTTAAATCAAACAAAAAATACAAGTAAAGTTAGTCCCACAGATCCACAACCAAACTTTAAACTCATTATGTTTACACACACAGTAGATGCAATGCAATTTTGTAAACTGCAATTTTCCCTAAACCACAATCACTTTGTGATTGCAAACAATTAAAAATGCAGTAACTGAAATTAAACAAGAACAATAAACTTTTTACTTTATTTATTTAATTACATGCTAAGAGGTTACAATTTCAAAATCTAAACAAACAAGAATTGCAAAGTTTGTTTGCCATCAGTTTCCAATGCTCTAAAATAATTTCAATTTTTTTTTCTGAAATAATAATGCTTAGTCACATTTTTGTATTTTTGATATTTTCATTTACAAATTATTTTAAAGTATTTTAAGATTGATCAGTTCTAGACAAATATTATCATATTAAATAGATAAGTTTAAAGATAGATATGTGAAGTGATCCATACAACACAAAATTCTATAAATGCAAAACCTTGCATTTAAAATACAACACCTCCCATTTGAAAGGTAAAACCTTACATCTCAAAGTCAGCATTGTAAACATCTTCGAAAATTTTAAAGACATAACAGCAGAAATGAAAGTACAAACCTAAATTCGTCAAGTTCTAAAATTCCATCATTGTTACCGTCATAAAATCGGAATATGTAGCGACATCTCATTTCTGCTGGGGAGCCACCATGTGGAGTAACTGGGTTAATTACAGCCAATCCCAATAAAACTTCCCTAAACGTCAAGTGACCAGAGCAATTTACGTCAAAAGATCTAAAATAGACAAAATGTAGATCAAACCACAATAACTAAGACATGCTCAGCAAATTCAGTGAAGTGTGAAGATAAAGAGAAGAAGAGGCCAATAACTGTAAAAAAATTCTGCTATTGGCCACTAGTGAATGGTAGAAAAAATAGGGGAAATTTTTCTGACCTCTGTAAGTAGGTTTATGCAAAATTTATGCAAAGTATATTTCAGCTAATAAAATTTAGTGTGTGACTTTTTAAATCAATAATGCATAGCTGCACACAAGGATAGGAAAAAAACCAGTAGACTTTACAAAACATAAATTTTCTGATAAGTGTTGTATAATATGCTAAATTTTCTACATATAAGGGATTTTTATAGTAATCAAAATACAAACATTTTATTACTGTAAACACTATAAATATGATAGACATTAAATGCACTTAAATTTTAAATGCTTTTTATAACATTAACTAATAATGTTTAATACTAATAAACAAGTAATTTATTATAGATATTTGAAAGATTTCTTTTTAAATAGTTTAAAAAGATAATTCTGAATAAAAATAAACAGAAAATTTTAGAACCAAAAATTATTAAAGAAGCTTTAAACTGAACATTATAAATGAGGCTTGCTTCATTATGTATTAGTAATATTTATTTAAACATTCAAGCAAACAATAAAATGTGTTAAAATTCTACTTCAATAGGTATTTTCTAAATAAATTTGCTAAGTTTTAGAAATTTTTTTAAAACATGCAAAAACCAGGAGAATTGTTATTAAACCAGTAGACCAGGAGAAACTGGCTAAATCTAGTAATTTATTGGTAAATCCAGTAGAGTTGGCAGCTATGATAATGCAATAAAAATAATTTATAAACTAATGCAAAATTTATTAGTTTACAAGTCTGAAACAATTGTTATCATGATGATAAAATTATATTATTTTTAAATACTACTGAGCATAAATTTTAAAAAAAATAAAAAAGAGTGTTAGAAAATTTGATAACCAAATACAACCCCCTCCCCGAACTTTTAAACCAGCTTAAAATAACCTTACATACTGGGAATGATTACAGTTCCCCAAGTCATAAATACAAGAAATTAATGCTAATTATGCAAAAAAAAAACAAGCATGTGTTTTAAAGCACTTATGATGCATTTTCCACAAAAAAGTAGCAATCGGTGACAATTAACAGGCAAATTTGTAGTTGCCATTTTTTAATATTTATTCCTCGTGTAGTGATGATAAATCTGCTTGTCAGCTTTTTTGCATTGTGTAAACATATTACATAAGCCAATGAAAAAGTATCTTTGTGATTCATTTCATCAAATCTTTTTTTCCGTAAATAAAGCAAATGTGATTTGATACTGTTGTTCAAAGAAAGCTCCTTTAATATATTTTTAACAAAAGTATCTTAAAGCAAAAATTTGCGTGTTCAAATGACCTTGGAAATAAATCTCGATTTTGAAGGAAAGGACTACATATTATACAAATAGTATTTAAAATATTTATTCGAAAAGGGGAAATATTTCTGCTGTGGAAGGTATTTTCTCAGAATCTATGAATAATAGAGAATATATTGTATTTTGAAAATATAATTATTTTTAAACATTTGCTTATAACAAATGAACTTCCAGAGGCTGAAAAAACTATAATTTGATAGAAAAATTTAAAACAAATTTAGAACAAAGAACTTATTTTTTTATCATATTTCGTTTTTCGTATGAAGCTATAATCTGAAAATGCCTTCAAGACACCATTTAAAGTACAGATGAATTTCCAAACAGTATATCAGTTAAAAAAATAATTTTAAGGTTATAACTTCAGTAAATTATTTTTAATCTAGATGCAAATTTGATGAAAATTTATTATAAAACTCTTACATATAGTTTATAAATGAGAAAGCAGAGGTCATTTAATAAAATTTATATAGCAAACTACTTAGAAAAATTATGATAAGCTTAAAATGCAATTTTTCTAAACATGGAAAAGATTCACATATTTTACATGAGCCATGTGGCAACACTTGTCTTGCCAAAAACTTTTTAAAGTATTTTAATCAAGCAATTGTCATTCCATTCATTCTTTCTCTAAAAATGATGAGTAATAGAGGGTCTGATTGCCACTTAGGGCCAGGTACTATAGAGACAGAGAGATAATGATCAGCTATTTTCACTCAGAAAGCCAATTGAATTGAAAGTCTAGGTAAATTGACATAGTAGTCTACTGTTACAGAAACATCTACCATAAACAATAAACTTCTGTAAAAATTCAAATGGAAGCCAAAGACCCTACACCCCAGATCTATTTTGTATAACTTCCACATCTTTAATACGCTCAAAAAAGCATTTCAAGTTCATTGATTCTAGACTAAAAAATAAACGTGAGTGTACGCAACTTGTCCAATCAAAGAATAACCAATGGTTTTTAATTGGCCAAGCATCCTTTTCCTAATTGGCTAAAAAAATGCCCTGTTTCACATATTAATGCATATTATACCAGTTACATGACTTTTCAAGCTTGAATCATTAGATTTTCACTCTCAGGTGGAATGTAACTAGCATTACTCAATTGGCTGGGATCACAAAGAATTAATACAAGTATAACAGAAGGAATTATGTCACTTTTAAGCAGGAAAAAAAAATAACAAAGTTCTTCATTCACTGCTTTTCTGCAAGTTTGTAAAAAAGAAGTTCTTCATACAAGATGCCAGATTATTTAAGTAATATTGTGCAAGTAGAGTCACATAATGAGACAAATGCTTAAGTAATTATAGACAATACTTTTGAATTTCATTAAATAAAAAGTATCAAATAGCCTCAAACTTTTCATTTATTAACTTTACCCAATATATGAAACATTTAAATTACAAGTACATACTCAGATATACATGGGTGCCACTCTAAAAAAATTTTAAGACTGAACTTATTTTTTAACCAAATAATGCTGTCTAGTGTTGTTTGCCGAATTTTTAGAAATTTATATCTCACTGTCAACAAAATTTATCTTTCCTTGATAATAGCCTACTATTAAATCAATAATTTGGTTATTTTTTCAAAAAAAAAATTTTTCTTTAAATTATGCTTTTTTTTAGAAAACAAAACAAAAATAACACCTAACCTAGTATATCTTTTTACACCTATTACTGAACGACTAACTTTTTCCTGAAACTATTCATAGCTCTATTTTATACTTCATTACTTATATTTTGTTCCAGCATTATAATTTCTTTCTTTTTTTTTTTTTTTAAATAATCTTGATGGCCAGCATGTCAATAGGTTGGGGGAGAAGCGATTTAGACTCAGCCATCGTACAAATTTTATGTACACAAGCAGACAGAAGTTCAATCAAAACCATTCGTCAGGATTTAAAGAATAAGATTTAGTGTGGCTGACAAAAGAAAGATAAATAAAAGTCCTGACACCATTCTTTCATTGCAGTGTGGCACCATTACTACATCATTTTACAATAATTGTAAAAAAAATAACTATGTTTTCATTAAAATGAAATATTTATTTTAATTTTTAACAAAAAGAAAGATAAATTTCTTATAAAAAAGAAAATTTAATTGAATTGGTAGAATTTATTTGTCCGTTGATTTTTCTCAAGACTGATTTCAGTCCCCAGGACTGTAGAGTGGCACCCATGCATATAACAGTATTTTAAACACAATATGTTTTGTATTTTATTGCACAATGGGTGAAATATTAGAATGTTACCGAAATAATGAGGCAGCATTTTTGAATATCCACTCTTCTTCAAACCAACAGAAAGATTCCAAATACTTAACAAAAAGATGGAAGTTCATTGTTTCACAAGGATACACATGGCACATGAAGTCATAGTATATCAACTTTTGAGCTGAAACGATAAACAAAATGAAGACCAAAATACTTTTAATATAAACACCATACAATGAAGAAGAAAAAAATAATAATCACTGATTGTTTTGCCCCTTAAAATTAGGTTTCATCTCACAAAACATTCTCCTAAAATAAGTTGGAACTTATTTTAAGAGAATGTTTTGTTAAACAATAATTTGCATTTATAAGAGATTCAATTCACAATAATTTTTTTTACATAAAAATCACACTTGTTTACCACAGTATCATGTAAAAAAGAATTTATTCATATACATTTATGCAAAATTAATTTATTCACATATATTTTTTAAAGAACTTTCACCTAAACTCATAATTTTGAATGAATGATAATTTCTTTCTCAACCTTGCCTAATTAATTTTAGTTATCCCTTTCAATATAAAGTGCTGATAAATTTATTAATTACCTACACTCACTATATTTTACATAAAACTAATTTCAATTACACATTCAGTTTAATGTTATATAGTTTTATTTTTTAAAAAAATGCATAGACCTTCCCTTCTTCTATATGGTTTTCCCATTTTTAGCCCACACTGTATGTTTTTGATAATTTGAACAAATTTTGAAAGACAAAAAGCCAAACCCTGGAATGCAAAAAACTTTCAATTCAATGGACACTGGCATCAGAGATCTCAATGAAATTTGTAACAGTACAAAATTTATGCATTAATGCAAGTTAAAAATAACTTTATACCCACGCATGCATAACATACATAATGATTGATTACAAGTTGAATTAAAATTTATGCATAATCAGCAAACTAAAGAGTCAGGGTGCGTAGCCAAATCTTTCAACAAAAAATAAGCACTTTTTAAACACTCAAAAAATATTTTTAATCACTATATGCATTAACAAAATGTAAAATAATTTTTAAAGACTTTACATGATCATGATAAAATATCTAGTTTCTGACAAAGAACTCTTTTCTTTATTATATTAGCCATTATAAAATGATTGAGAGATTTTTCGATTTGATATCGAAGGGTGGAAAATGAAGTTTGAAATAGAGAGTATCTTGCAAAATGCAGCAGAGTTGCACATGAGAGTGCAATAATCTCACCGAACCCAGCTCAGTATATATGCACAAACGGACATACAAGTATTTAATCAAACATGCAAAATGATAGGCGCTTTCATACGCTAGGGACCGACGGTACGCCAAAATAGATTATGGTTGAAAGAATTGTGAAAACATTGAATAGAACAATGTGAAAAGCACGCTTTTGCATAATACGTGGCGAAAATCGACATGGTAAAGAAAAAAAATCTCATTTTCGAAAAGGGAAAATTAAGCACTTTTTTAAAAACGTATCCCATGAAAAAGCACATTAAAGGGCTTTTGAAAAACGAAAATAAGCACATTTAAGCACTTTTTAAAAACGCTATGCACCATGAAAGAACTTTTTTTTTTTAACTTTTTGGAAAAATCTTACGTAATTAGTTTATTTCATGAATCTTGTTTGCTAAGTATATCTGATAAATTTCTGTGATATTCGATTCTTTATTTCAAGTAAACACCTGATACAAATATTCTATCCATATTCTTATTATGCAAATGTTTAAGGACACTTCAATATTTTTTTTAATACTAAATTCTTTTTATTTGTTTTTTTAGTACAGAAAGAAAATGATTTGGTAAATAGTTAAAAAAAAATTTATAAAAAAAAATTTTTTGAACAAAATTGTTTAAATAATATAAAGAACAGGCAATTTTTAAAAAAAATAAGAAGAAAAGAGGAAGGAAATGAGTTGGTTTCTTAAGTCAAAAATTCTACATACATAGTTGATAGAAAAATTAATAAAGTACAAAAGAGAAATCGTAAATTTTCTTATAAATTAGGCTTTTTTATATCAGAATTAATATATTTAATCTGCAGCACAATGTCTGTAACACTAGCATAGTCAGAAAAATTTTGTACTAAATAGTAGGCTTAATTTAAAATGCATATAGTTTGCACATGCAAAGTTTACATATATAGGTTAATTAAAGTTTTATTGTTAAAAATTTATGCTAATTTAAGTTACGTTTTTTTTTATACAGTAAAAAAATGGAATTAATCCCTACACACCCTGTGCCTTAAAGTCTTTAATGTTTCTTGTTATATTTCTTTCATTTTCTAAAATTCAAGTAGAAAAATAATAATAATTTTAAAAAATAATAACTGTTTTTTTTTTTAACTTATAGTTACCAGAAGATTGGCACAAAATTTTTGTCTAAAGACTGAAATGAATACAGGGGTGATTGTGAGCCCAACTCAAAAATCCTGAAAATTTCTTGAGTGAAATCATTAATGACACATTTCAAAAAATGTATGTCTTTATAAATTTAAATCATTGATATTTTCACAACATGAAATTCTAAATAAATTATATGCAGCATAATCTAAATGAATAATTATGTATAAGTTTACTTTTATCTCTAATCACATTTATTACTCTACCTGAAAAAAATATTTACAAATGAAAGAGAGGCCAAATATAAATTCCAGTTCTAATATTTTTAAATAAAATATACAAGAATTTTTATACATAAATGTGATCAATGATTTCTAGAAACTTCTGAACCTTGAATTTCCGGATGGCGGTTGGCAAAAAATCTGGACTTTTTTCCGGTTCACAGCCATCTCCGTAAACAATAATTGAGCAAATTTCAGACGAAAAATTTCGGATTGACCTCTCAGCAATTTTTTAGCCTTTTCTTTCATTAAAAAAAAATCTGAGCTAAAAATTATTCTGAAACCCCCATTGTTGTCTTGAAGTGCTTTCGCAACCAAGAAACTAGTTAAACAAATATTTTTTTTCCTTCCTAACAACAGGCACTGAACATTTTACATTCTTCACCTAGGAAGATGCCCGAAGTGCTGCTCATTTAACGTTGCCCAGTGAGCACCTGTGAACCTAAGTCACTGGAGGGGAGCAACGTTACCCACGCCACACTGCCACAGATACCCATTTTTATAGGGTGGACCACATTCAAGCAATACAGAACAACACACAGAGAGAAACATCTATGCCCTGAGCGGGATTCGAACCCGTAGCCACTGGCTTCGCAGTCAGGCACTCTAACCATTCGACCATCTGGCTGGCAGTTAAAGAAATATAAAACAGATTATATTACATAATATAGACAGTTACCTTCAAGGGAAAAACCAGCAGACTCTACCAGACATTCCTGAGGAGATTTAGAAACATTTTCAATTTCCTTAAAACAAGTGATAACAGACAAATTAATAGAATGCTCAGAATACTCAGTAAGGTACGGGGATGCTTGTTTCAAATGCTTGCAAATTTCCGAAGGCTCGCAGCTTCTTAAATCCCTTTTATTCATTTTCTCAATGTCAGAAACAGAAAACCAAGAAATGTCACTCACATTCTAAAAAATAAGCAAATTTTAAAAAATGAGCTATAAAATTACTAATGATTAAAACAATGAAGAACTATAAATTTTTATTTTCTTCAGGGTATCTGCTACAATTAGTTTTTTAAATTCAAGACCAATTCCAAGAATTTTTCATGATTTAAAGAAAGTTAGTACTTTCTCCGACAAAAACACAACAATAAATTTTAAAAGCATTATACAGCATGCATGCATTTAAAAGCATGCATACCCCTGACCTTCAGGGGATCAAAATTTTGGTTCACTATAACCTTGAGTTCACTATATCCGCCACGCAGGCAATTTAACTAATGGTTCCCAAACTCTTCCCTTTTATTGCACATTATTCAAATGAATGACTGAAAAATATTATGTAATAGCAAAAAATGTGTTATTTTTCATTACTCTTCATCTTGCATACAAAAAAAATTAGTAATCTTTAGATGATGAGCAATCTTCAACATCAGATATGGAAACACTTCCCGACTCTCAGATAATTTTTCCGGAATTTCTGTTATTCCGCTTTTTAAACCTGTCTAACCTGCCATTCGAGCACATATAAGTAGTCACATAAAATCGCTTAGCAAATTCATTGACATAAAATTGTCCAGATACTGGAAGATTGTGGGTTCGATTGGTGAACCACTTCAGTAATGCTTCTTCAACATCCTTGTGATCGGCTTTTCTCAACTTTTTTCTGCCATCTAAATTTTTTTCATGAGCAAAAGTTATTAATTGCCTATTTTTCCTATATTACAAACTGCAGATTTGGATAGCTTATATTCCCTGCAAATATCAGCTTGATTGCATCCATTTTCAATTTTTCTGATTATGCCCATTTTATCATCAATGGAGAACGTTTTACGTTTACTGCTCGCCATAGTTAAATTTGTGACACTTGCTTGCAGGATTTTTTTAACTGAATTGAGAGAAAAAAGAAGTTGAAACGAGGGCCTTATCAACACATATTAGTGTCCAACCCTTTGACCAAAAATGAATAATTACTCATTCCCACTGACAGAAAATGCATATTGATCCCACAGACACCTTACAGATGCATCATCTGCCTGAGTTGAAAACATCTGCTTGGTTTGCTTAGGGATGGGAAATTGAGATAAAAGAAAACAAGAAAAATGCTTATCGCTACATTCCCCTCTATAGATTGTTTTAAAAATCGGTATATGTATTTATTTTGAAGTAGAAATTTCGAAATTATTACAAAAAAAAAATTAAGAAAAAAATCAGTTGAAGAGAGAAAAAAGTTCATTATATCCAACTTCCTCACATTTTTGGTTCACTATATCCACAGAAAATAACATTACATGTGTATAGCAAGGCACGGGACCGAACAGTTCGTTCACTATAAACCGTGTTGTCTGTAATAACATTGATTGAAATGATAGGTATAACTAAAACTGTTATACACTGCATCTTCATATTTACAGATTCTAAATTTAAAAAACAGAGTAAAGAAAGAGTTGAAGCAATAAAATAGCTGAAAAAAATACAAAAGCAAATTTTTTCTTTTCTTTTTTTCTACAGAATTATATTTTAAAGACACTTTTATGTTCATCGGAAAGGACAGAAATACTCCTGATTTTCTGTTCTTATTTCTGAATAAAACAAAATCGCCAATGACTGGCTTGCTTACGTTAGAATTTTAAATTTATAAAGTAAAAATAATATAATAAAAATTTTGAAATCACAGAAGCTTAAAAGATATTTCCCTCTAGAAATGATGTTTTTTCCTTCATTTTTTGAAAGAACGCCATTATTTTTAAAGAACATGATGAAAACATTTTATATTTTAATAAAATATAACTGTGGGTGGTGATTTTATTACAAAATCACATATTCGGAACACCATGAAATAAAGGGGGGGGGAATTCCATTTTAAAAATTAGATTTTTCGGCGAATAGTTAAAATCATGACATTTCATGACAAATTTTGTCCAATACCGAAATTTATGACTTTCCATGATTTTTCATGACTTTCCAAGAGTGCAGATTCCCTGTATTTAATATTTTACCCTGTATATGAAAGAATTATACACTGTATTAAAAAGGAATTTAGAAGCAGTATAAATGATTGATTTTGTAATAAATAAAGAATTTATACTTTACCTCAACAAATTGATCAACTTCAACTAGAAAGATAACTCTATTAACAGGTGAAATATTTTGATGATACTGTACATGACAAAGTTGAAGGATTCCAGATAATTTATTGGAAGCGCCAATATTCTAAAACAGGAAGAAATTTTTTTTTTATTACTATTTCAGTGATGTCAACCAGTAGTAAATTTTGTTATTTTTTTCATTTTTTTTTAAATTCAAAGCTGCTTTCCATAATAAGTATCTATTAAATCTTTATTAATTAATGAATATTTTATTAGATACAATCATTATAATTTTATGAAAACACTTAAATGGAAAATTTAATATACAGTGAAACCTCCTGTTATGCACACTCTTGCAAAACGGACGCCTCCCAATACGGACATATTTTTAATTCCCCATGAATTTTCTAAGAATAAACCATTATGTACATTCTCTACAAAGGGAACACTCTCCTAACCGGATGCGGACAGACATTTTTGCCCTGAAACGTTTTTGTCTATCTCTTCAAATCGGACACTATTTTTTTTAAATTCTAAAAAAAAAACTTTTTCTGCTTTAAATTAGAAGGGGAAAAAATTTTACCTTTACCCATTTTTAAGGCACACACATTTTTTGCCTTATCCATAACTAAAAATATTGTTAAGCTATTTCACAAGTAAAGAATCACTCTTTCTTCGGTCACCTTGCCTTACCTTTGCAAAGAAAGGAGAGAAAATGATATTTCTAGTCGGACATCTGGACGACGCAAGTTATGAGACCCCACAAGATGAAATTATGTCTTAAATGCTCTCAATACTTTTTCCTACTAAAATTTCCTTCATTTTCTTATAAATTTTTACGTTAAATAAAGTCTTTAAAAAAACTGTATTTAACACAGCTGGGGTAAAAAAAAAAAAAGAACAGAAACATAATGATTGAGGTGTTCATATAAATAAAACATTTATTCAGGCACTTATGAGATGATTAATAATGAATATATCAACTGCATAGGTCCTCGCACCTTACAGGTAAGCATTGATTTATTTTGTTTTCTGTGAATCGCAGGTTTATTTTCAAGGAGGTATTAGCCATGTTTCCTATCACCTGATGTGTAGGGTTGTAAACCTAATTATTGAAGTCGACTGAGGAACTTGTATATCTGTGATAATAGGAATATTATCTGTACTATTCCTTTATATCCACTCAGGAATGCTATTCATTTATCTGTGGTTACATCTAGAATTATGTATTTATATCAAACTTTTTAGTACATTTGTTTTGTATAGAAAAATATATTTTTTAAAGTTTAATTAAATATCCTCGTAGATAGTTATTGTAGATTTTTTAATTATTTCTATAACATTGAAAATATTCAAGTTGAAACACAAGCATCTTTATTAGGGTACCCTTCCTGTAAACGGACAACTCTCTTAAATGGAAAATTATTCCGGTCCCAAGAGTGTCAACTTAATCATCGTTTCACTGTATATGTATAGAAAATACTTTCAGACTTGGAAAAAAGATTAAGAATTTTGTTAAATTGTTATGAGGTAAGTGATTTGTGAGAAGTAAATTCCTGTATGGTTCCTTGTATTATCTTTAACATTTCTGTGGTTATTGAATTGTTAGCTTCATTTAGTTATAAATTAAAAGAGATTAATTAAACTATTTGCAATGAAAAATCTGGACACCATAAAAATGTCATAACGACATTTGCTTAATTAAATCAATATAAGCCTCATCAATTTAAGAAAAAAATAAAAATATTGCTTTTAAAAAATTAATGAGTAATTTTTCCTCCAGAATATAGATCAAGAGTACTGAAAAGGGGGAGATTTCCATATTGCGATCTGTGGCAGAATGATCACCTAGTCTTGGAAACTTCCGGGCAGTGGCCCGCGAGAAACTAAAAAACTCGAAACATCACAGAACTCGAAAGGTATAACTCATAGCCATCCTCGGGCAAACATCTACATGCTTCTTTTAAAAAAATTTTGCAAGTTTAAAATCTATTTGGCACCTTGGCGATTGTAGTTGACGCGACAGATCAGGATACAGAAATATCCCCAAAAAGTTTTACAACAAACCAAGTAAAAATCAGACTACGAACTACCTTAAATAACAACTTAGTAGTGGACCATCACTCAAATCCAAACCATAACAATAAAATAATTATTTGTTTATTTAATTTTTTTTTTTTTTTTACAACTGCAATGGGTCTTTTAAATAAGGGTCTTTCACAGACGAAGAATTGTACCAATATTCATATGTAATAAAGAATAGAAAATTGAAATGAGACTTGCATATATCTTGTGAATAATTGTGAACTTAAAATAATTGTGAATGTATTTACGTTACTTTCATTATTTCTTCAGCAATCATTCTCCAAGTTTTGTCTGCCTTCATTTCAAGATAAGGAAACCACCAGCCACATCCTTCAACGTTTCTTAATCCAATCTTTTTATCCAATTTCCGAATAATAAATAAGCATACAACATCTTTTAAGATTTTTTCAACGTTCCAAAATCGTTCATAACTGTCTGTTAACTCATTCATATTTCCGGTGTACCATATATCTTAAGCAAACTATAGATTCAATGTCATAGTTGAAAATAACAACATCTTAGCTTTACACAATAAGTGCGAGCTTGAAAAGAATAGTAAAAATTAATAATTTACTAATTTGAATTTATTACTAATCTTATTTTGTTTTGATACGCTACAGCGAAATAATACTTCCGGCTGCTTACTTTCGTAACAAGCTGAACCCGATTTTGAGTGTTTACGTTTACGAAAAAGCGTTTTCAAATTTTTTTTATTTTACTTAAGTTCTGTATTGCATGCTTCAATAAAACAGAAGTAGGCTACTTAAAACGTCTAAGATAATTTGCATTTTAATAGTTAGCGAGTCATCTGATAAAGTTTTGGTTCATTTTCTTGCGATTCGATTATCAAATATGGCTCAGGTATTATTTCTTTTATAATTTATTTTCCTTGCTCTAGTTCCTCCTAAAATTCAATTATAAACTTAAACAGATGTACTGGTCAAAGAAAAAATGTTACTAGATTTATTCCACTTAATCTTTAATATCTTAAATAATTATCAGGCTTGGTAAAAAAATAATTGGAAATAAAATTATTTTTTTAATATAATTTTGAACATTGCTGCTATAAATTAAAGAAAAGAATACTGTAGCAGCTCATCGTTACCTGTCCCTTTTTTCTTTTTTTTTTAATGTCATCTTTAAAAACGTATCCACCCATTTTACCTTCTAAAAGAAGTACTCGCCTGTTTACGCCCACTACAATCACCTAGACCTAGGCAAAAGAGAGATTTTGAATTTGCAAAAATTTTAAACAAGAACATGTAGATTTATGTTTATACCCTTTGAGTTCGTCCCCTTCCCTGCAAAAAAAAATTTTTTTTTTTTATAGTTTCTCGAAGGTCACTTCCAAAACTAGGTGATTATTTTGGCTCATACCAATACAGAAAAATTCAATAATTTGCTGCTCTATAAACAGGTATATTTCTGTAGTGTGATCTGCCAGACTAAATGCAATCGCCAAGGTGCCAGCCACATTATTTTTAAATGGGAAAATTGTTTTTAATAAAGCTTGTTGAAGATTGCTGGGATTTCTGCGAGTTATACCCTTGAAGTTTGTTCATTCATTTCTCTGCTGCTTTTTAGTTTCTTGTTGGCTGTTGCATGGAAGTTGCCAAGACCTCTGTGCAGCTTACTTATATTCTACCTTACTTAACTTATTATTCCGCCACATATCAAACTATCACATAACAAACTTGTTATTCTGCCACATATCATGATTTGGAAAAAAAACCTAAAATCTAAAAGGTTTGCTCTACTTGATTATTTCTTTTCCTTTAACCATTTGTAGTAGAGCAAACAATACCTTCCACCACAAACAATTCCTTTAACCATTTGTACCATTTGTTAACCACTAGCAGTAGAGATAACTTCAATAATACTCTCAAAAATTTGCATAATCTTATATTGACAACCATATCAAGTTATTTTATTAGTTCAAAACAGGGTTGGGTTTTTGCCATCAAAAACTGGTTTTTGACATGACAGTGGTAAAAACCGTGTTTTTACTGTTAAAAACCATCAAAAGCCTACTGTTTTCTTTAATTTATGGCATATAGCGGACAATATATTATTTTCACATAGTTGTCTTTATAAATGAATGTTGTAAATGATTGCTATTGATTTTGCAACTATATACATGTATTCTTATAAAAGGATATTCATATAGAAATATTGTAATATACTTATTGAAATAGTGATACTTTCTTTTATCATTATAGCTTGATTTGCAAAGGATTCAAAATTTTGCACTTCTTAATTGTTAGAAATAAACAAACAAACAAAAAAGTTTGGAACTATTTATAAATTCAAGAACTAAAGAAGAATTTAAAATTTGGCATTTCTTAAATATTAGAAATAAGCTAAACAAAACTTGTAACTACTAACAAACTCTAACTCAAGAATGACTTGACGTTCTTCAGTAATGTAATATGCTAAACAAGATGATGCTTGGAAATGTTGAAAATTTTGTTTAGTATCCTAATATTTTACTTCAAATAGTATGTTTTGATATAATCATGTTGGGAAAATGCAAGAATCTGTTCTAAAATATCTTTTAACAACTTTTTTTTCTAATTTTATTGCCCAAAAAGGAATTAATTTTAAATTATAAGCAGTTAAACTCAAATAAAAATACAGTTTTACCAAAACTCTGGGTTTTTGACAGAGGGTTTTTTGACATGACGGTAAAAGCCATCATGTGTCAAAAACTTGCCAACCCTGGTTCAAAAGTATTGCAGACAACCCTAACCAGTTTTCTAACTAGGCTGCACTTAATATCATGCTCCTCTCTGTTTATCCTACAAAAATTAGTTTTTGAATACTTGTTACTAATTAACAGTAATCTTCCAGTTGGTGATATTTCTGTATTGATACCTGTTCAAGCCAATTACAATTGTCAAAGAAATTTTAAACTGACAAAAATTTATCTTTAGAATATAATTCTGTAGGAAAAAAAATTATTTGCTTTTGTAATTTTTTCTCCTATTTTATTGCTTCAACTCTTTTTTTTTTTTTCCTTCTGTTTTTTAAAATATATAAGTATGAAGATGCAGAGTATGTCAGATTTGGTTATGCCTATCATTTCAATTAATGTTATTATAATGCTTTTTTAAATTTATTGTTGTGTGCTTGTGGGAGAAAATTGTAACTTCCTTGAGTCATGAAAAATTCTTGGAATTAGTCATGGATTTCAAAATCTAAAATATGGCAGATACCCTGAATCTAGATCCCTTTTAACTGATAAAATAATTAGTTTTAACTGATTTCCTTTTTAACTGATAAAATACTACTACTCTTTATTTCAAAAACACTTTTCTAATTTATTAAGAACTTTGACCCTTATATAAGTAATTTTGTTAATCCTAGTTGGAGTACCAGAAATCTTCTATGTAGGCCAACAAATTTATTCCAGAAAATATTTTTTAAACAAATTAAGTAATTTGTAACATCTTTAGAGTTTTTGAAACAACAATTAAATTTAATAAACTAATTATTATTTAATACTCTTTTTTAGATCCACGAATTCTCTGTAAATATGACTTGTGAAGGCTGTTCTGGAGCAGTGAATAGAGTTTTAGGAAAATTAAAAGGTGCTTGTTGAGTTTTGCCGATTATATATTTTTTCTGTTAAAACATTATGAAGCTATAATTCTTTCTGTTCCTATTTTTTTTCTCCTTTTGATACTTATTTTTTATTAGTTTTTGATGTTATTACTTATGTTTTTCCTGTTTAAGTATTTATTAAAAAAAATATTTCATCATCAATATTCAGAATATTATAAATATTTGTAATATTCTTATAGTTTGACTATATTCTTATAGTTTGACTATATTTTTATAATGACGAATAGAGCTCAAAATTTGCTTTAATATGATTTAAAAGTTTGAAGTATAAAAATACAAAAATAAAATTATTGCATAATTCTGTAACATACTTACAAAATCTTGCTTACCAAACTTGGTACGAAGTAGAACTGGGTAAGTATAATTTTCTTTGGTACTACACATATATTGATACTGATGCAACTCAGTTTTAGTTACAAAAACCTGATACTTTTTATATCAGATACATATCAATATTGATTTATATTTTAATTAATAGAGATGTTAAAAAATAATAATAAAAACTATGTTTTTATTAAATCTAATGTTATTTAATTTTTACTCACTACTTTGAAAGATTACTAGAAACTTATTAAATTTTCAAGACATTCAGATACGTTTTTTTTTTATATATATATAAGTTATAAATTACGATTCAGAACAAAATCTTTTAAATTTTTTCTGTGCATGCACAGTTTAAGAGGATAACTTTATATATTCATACCTTATGCAATTTTCAATAATTTTTTTTTTCTTTCAAATTTTCAAATGTTTTTGTTATTAAATAGGAATTATGTTAAAAATTTTATTGAATATTTCTGCAGTTATAGTAAGAAAAAGGGAAATAATTTGTTTTTCATAAAAATGTCTTGACTCCATGAATATTTTAGCGTAACTTATGAAATTTTGTGCAGTTATTCCATATGATAGCCAAAAAAATTATCATATTGCAAGTTTATTACTGTTTTTTTTTTTTTTTTAGCATAGATGTTCAAAAACACAATTTTTCTTTTGTTATTTATTGTCGGTCCCTTAAATCTCTAATAGCCTTAAACTATATTGATATGTATGAGTAATCGCGTGACCTAAACACCTCTTAAGTTATAAATTAATTCTCTTAGTATTTTTTGAGAAATATCAAAAAAAGAGTAAGAGTATTATAAATAGTATTGGAGTGTTTCCGTAATTTACTCAATAACTCTTGTATATTGATAATATAAAATATCTCATATGAGTTTTTTTTATATTAAATCATAGTTTAAAATGAGTATCTCTAATTTAAAAATAGAAGATCTTTCTTTCACAAGGAGTTGTAAAGATTTAATTTTATAATTAAAAGATCATTTTCAGATGTATACATATATATGTGTGTATAAATATGTATATACTAGCTGAATACCCAATCTTCGTACGGGACTTTAAAATAATAAAAAAATCAATAAATCAGGACTAAACAACATTTCTAATTCATGCACAAAATGGGAAAGATAAATGCCAACACAAATATTGAGCTAAAATGTTTTCAATGTTTTTTAATTTATTATGTGTTGCCCTTCTAGGTGACTTTATGTTATTAGATTAAGCAAAACATGTACTTAGTCATTCGGCCTATCAAAATAAATATTAACTTTATTTCTAACATCATCTGGCATAATGCTGCTGTTCTAGACAACTCATGATATTTTAAATTTACCACAACCAAGCTACTTTTTCCTGTACTTATGTCTTCGAAGGGCCATAAAAACCTATTACCTGAATATCTGTCATAAAAATTTACAGTATAGGCACCAAGTACACTTATAAAATACTTTGTACCTATGTAAAAGTATATTTGGTGCATATTGAAACTGTATAATAAGTTTCCATAATGCCAGTAGTGCCTACTACCAAAATGAAGCATATTGTTGTGTTAATAATAGTATGGCAACTTTTTATGGGACTCTATGACAAATAAGGGCATTTTCTCCATTAATTTTGCTTTTTCGCCCATAACTTAGTTTTTATTTAAATTAGTTTCAAAAGCAATTAATTGAATAGTGACAATAGTTTGTCGATTTTTACTCGCTCTTAAATGAATTAATGCAATTTCTCAAATTATTTTGCCTTTAGTATATAGCTTATTATTTTATTTCAATTAATAAATATTGATAAAATTGATTATCTCTGGGGTCAATAATATTGGTATTATTTTACCTTTATCCTCAATCAGTATCATATTTGAACTAATTATGATTTTTCAGTACAAACTTATTTTTTTATTTCAATTACTGTTTAATTTAAATGCAACTATTATGTTGATCATTCAGTTTACCTGGCATAACAAATTAAAAATAATTAAGTATTACAGAATGCACAATAAGCAATTTTTTTGATTAAAGCTCTAAGCTAGGAAACATCATTAATGTTATCTTTAATATATTTAACAAAACTGAATCGTTTTTAGCTTACTTTAAAGCAATGGCTGCAACTCAACCACAATGAGAAAATTCTTTTTTTAAGTATCTATGAATAAAAAAAATTTCATTAAAAAATCAAAAATCAGGCCTCTTAATTTGTTTACAGCTGTACTAATTTAGTATCATGTTGAATGTCGTATTTATAGAGCCTACAGATTGCTCATAGTATGGTATGCAGATACACAGGCACAAATTCCTTAATGTATTATGTATGCATATGTATTATTCCAACGAAGACCTGTGCAACATGAGACTGGATATGGTAATTCTAACATGTAATCTAGTGTAACAAATAACTATAATCACTTTCTGAAGTGTAGAGTAATAATAGTATGTTATTGTTAATCACCTTTTTAAACTCCATTTATTTTTCTCAATGCTTAGTTATTTCTATTTTGATTAGGTAATGGTGTTGATGATTTCTCAGTTGATTTGGAAAATAAGAAAGTCAAAGTAACTTCATCTTTGCCTGCTACATCAATTTTAGAAACTCTGAAGAAAACTGGGAAAGAATGCACGTATATTGGAACATCATAAATAGAAATAAATTTATAAATTTTTGAATCATTGTGCTTAAAGTTGCAACTTTTTGATGTTATATTATTTTTTTCTTGATTATGTAAATGAATTTCTACTAGTATATTTTTATAATAAAGAATAATTTTTTAATGCTGCCAATTATGGTTATATTTTTAAAATAACTCACAAAAAAAAATTTATATTCTCAGAACAAAACGACAAAATAAGAAACAAAAATGTTTTAATTCCAAAGCTGTGTTATAATCTGAATATCGCCTAAGCTTATTAGACCTGGATCTAGTAGCAGGTTTTGTTGATTTAAGTCCCCATATTTTTTAAAAAAGTAATTGATTTAAATCAAAAGATTTCTTTTTAAAGTATCTGATTTAGAAGTTTTCAGAGGGTAATAATATAAAATTGATACAAAAATTTTATTGATTTTTCTTATTGCAAACATACTACTGGGTAAATAAGTTTCATTTAGCAAAATTACATTAATTCTTAGTGTATACAAATTATAACACTGTTAAATACTGCATAATTTCTTTGCTATTTACTTACACATTATTATTTCATTATTTGTTATTACTGCACAATTTATTTACTATAAGACCTCACAATTTATTTGCTATTTCAACAATTTATTTGCTAAAAAAGATAGGAAATACTTGTAACACTAGATTTGTGCCTTGCTTATTTTCGGTCCGTTTTTCTGTAGTCAATAATAATACATTTCTATTCCTTTTTTAATAAATTTGAAGCATGCATTATACAATGTTCCACAGTAGATCACGGAAGTCGAGCATCACTGGCAACAGTTCATGAGTGACCAGTTTAATTAGCCTGCGAAGGGATCGAGGTTGTGAGGTATCAGTCCTCGTTAAACTTTTCTACCGTCAAGTGCTCTACTTCAAACGTGGGTTGGTTGTCGTACTAATGAAGTGGGGGAGCTGTCCCCTATGTTTAGATAGTGTTACCAGAGCTTAAGTTTAAAAAGTAGAGAATTGGAACTCCATAAATAGCTGTTTTGAACATTTTGTAGCTCAAAATAAAATTCTTGGTCACAGCTGCGTATACGCCATCTGGGAAGATGACCGGTTCCATGTCATGACTTCTCCCTATCCTCCTCAATAGTATGAGAATAGACTACGATATTTTCCCCTTTTATAAAACTTTTTCTTAATTAGTTGTCAAAAAATATTCCACTACGATTTCTTTAAGAACTACGTTTAATACAGTTTTAAGTTCCTGACTTAATTTAAAAATCTAGACTGAAACTATAGTTTCAGTCTAAATTATATATAACGTGGTTTTTTCCCCTCCTTTTAAAAAAAAGAATAATTAAAGAATAATATTGATTGATTTATTGAAATTACATACATTTGCTGACTTGTGTGCTCAATATAGGCTTATAAGTCATTGTCAAGTAGAAAATACAGATAGAACAATTCAGAGAAAGACATCACAAAGAATACATCCAAGGTTACGGCGGGATTCGAACCCGCTACCTCCACGCTTAACAGAGCGTTTGGCCCCTGAAAAATAATAAGAATAATATAAAAGAATAAAAATAAGCAAATTTTAATAATCATGTGTTCATTCATTTAATTAATGACCATACATATTAATATTTTCCATGAATATATTTTGCATTCTCTAATGATAAAATTTTTCGAGTGAGCTTCCTCATCTTTCACCGGCGATGAACTACATGAAGTATGAACAGTTCTTTATTGCTAATTTAACTACTATCGCCATCTTCACTTTTCTTTTAAAAGTTTTCCCAAGTCTATAAATAGTCTGATCTTTTTGTTGCAGAAATTGGCAGTTTAAAACGTTTGAATAGTCCTATTAATCTAAACTTCAAATCAAGTTCTATTTTGGGAGTGTCAAACTTTGAATAATTAACCACGTAAAAACAATTTGATCTTGATCTAATAACTGTTGAGCTTGCTGAAGTTTATCGTTGGAAAAAATATCAAGCAAATTTGTTTCTTCAGATTTTCAAGTAAGGTTATTCTTGATAATTTATTAAATTATATGTTTAATATTTATGTTCCAGCAGGAAAATATGAATTTTATTTTCTCAACTAATTTAATCATAATTTTTGTTTTAAATCTATTAGAATATCTCTAAGATTTCTTAGTTAATACAGTAATTTATTATACTGTTTTGTTTCAGAACAATATTGATTGTCCTTGGATTAAGTTTTTATTTACTTTCTTTCAATCTACTATATTATTCGGAAGCAATATCAGAAATCTTATTAAATTTTGATTTAAAAAATATCGTTTGTGTGTGTTTTTATTTTTAAGTTCGATTATATTTACAGCATTAGTACATTACTGCAACGTACCTAAACATTTTTTATTATTCATTTGAGGGAAAAAATGGTAGAAAATAGGAATTGTCATATCTAGTCTTTTAACTAAAGGTTCTAACAAAGCTTGGCTGTTTAATTTATAAAGTAGAATGTTGCTCTGCTCCATAACCCTAGTTCATTGACCATTTTTAAAAATATAAGTTGATCTTAATATTCTTTTTCTGAAGTGCAGAACATATTTTTTTTTTTTATGGTTTAGAAATCCAACTAATTCAATACTTTATGCAAGTAAAAGTTGATCCTGATAACTTTTCAGGGAATATTACTCCAACTACAATCGCCAAGGGGCCAAATCAATTAGTTTAAAATCCATCTGTAATTTTTTTTAAAGTAACTCATAGACTATGAGTTACCTATGATATGCCTGGCTATGAGTTATACCTTTCAAGTTAAGCCATTTTTGTGATGTCTTTTTTAGTTTCTTGCGGGCTGCTGCCCAGAAGTTGCACAGATTTGTCTATTATTTCGCCAGAGATCACAATACGGAAATCTCCCTACTTTTTTTAAAAAAAATGCATTACATATTTCTTTAGTATTTGTCAGTAAAAGCTAACTGTAATTCCAGTATTTGTTTTTCGTTAATTTTAGCAAATTACAGCTATTTTGAAATGTTTTAATGACTTGCCAATGCAGGGTTAGCTATTTATATGACTATATATATGCAGGCCTTACAAAATTTAGTTTCTCTCTCGCTATTGGCAATCAATAAATTTAAAGTAGTGACTATATTTTTATCTTTTTAATTACAATCAGATTTTTTTTCATATTTTGATACTCATTATGTAGAAAAATCCTGTGTTTTCAACAATCATTGGAGAGAAAAATCCTTTTTTTCCTCATTTTCTTGCTTTTACATATTTTTCATATTTCTGATTTTGCATTTTGTAATAATTTTTTGTTGGAAAAATAAGGTATTTCAAAAACATGTAATAAAAACCACTATGGTTTACAATGAAATCAGTACTAAATTGAATTAATATGGCTGAAAATTAAAATGTGAATACTTATATGCAAATTCAAAATTGATGAATCATAATAGTTTTGTTTAATAATTTTTGGGATTTATAGAATTATTTAGAAATTCATGAGTGATAATTACCTATAAAGTTATAAAGAAAACATGTCAATTCCAGATGCAAATTGAGCGTGTGCATCAATAAGTTATTTCTTAAATGCATGCAGTGTTTTCACTACAGCGCGAGAATGCGAGAATCTCGCATATTTTTTTCTTTTCTCGTATTAAAATATGATTACTGCGAGAAATTCGCAATGATTACTGCGAGAAATTCGTGCATTCTATAAATCAATTTCAAAATTCGCGAATTTCTCGCATTTTGGAAGAAGCTTCGAATTACGCTATTTAGAATAAAATCCGTTTCACTTTTCTTCCTGGATCTTTCATTATTTTCAACATTTGCTCCGTTATCTAGCTTCCCTATTTACCAGTATTGATCAGAACCTTTTTGAACAACAGAACCACGGAACCCCTTTCAGAACACATTTATTTGCAACCACGTGTTTGCCGTCGGTAAGGTTTTTTCATGTAAGACGTTAAAATTTTTTATGCACTAATGTAAGATGGACAAATACCTAGTAAAGGCAAAATCTTCTATGATGATGCAGCAAGAATATTCAATGCTTTAAAAAATAGAAGACGTTAAAAATGTCTATTTGTGTTTTTTTAGTTTTTAGAAATCTCACTTAACTTTCTGAAATCTCACCCTGTTTTTGAGAAAGAGTGAGAAATTCTCACCCATTTTTTTTCTATGACGAAAACACTGGCATGGTTCCAAATTCACCTTCGTAATTATGTTTGATTAAATGTATGAGAAATTAAAAACACCATAATTATGATTGACTGTGTAAAGCTAAACACAGATGGCACTAAGGGTTAAAATTCATTGTAAGACTTCCGGGTTATTACTTCCGATTGATTTTTACGCCATAAATTGAAAAAGTGTGCCATCAGATATTATTATACTATTAGTGTTTACAATATAACATATTCTTTCATTTTAAATTTCCACAAAACAGAAAACAAATAAATTCGGAAAACTTCGCAAGCATGCTATGATGCAACCCAAAAAATATCAAATGGTGATATTTTGCACAAATATAGCCAAATAAGGGATAATACACAAAACATGGCAAACCTTACCCTTTATGTTTTGATATTAATTTTCTTTAATTTGTTTTAGGCTCACGACCTGCTAGAATTTATAAATTGCCGAAAACTTTTAAAAATTGTAAAATTACTCTTAAATTTAAACAAAAATCACTATGTAGAAATCTGTAACAATAATTTTTCTCAAATCACAAAGAGTTATAATGAAATCAGTGCAAAATCAAGCCTATTTAAAAGTGATCACTTAATTGTGACTTGAAATACTTATGATACATAGTGCGATAATACTTGCTGCGATTCAAATTTCCATGACGTATTAATTTCTCAATAAACAAATAGAGAAACATGTTTCATTTCAGTAAAATAACAATAAGACACATTTGTTTCCATGTACTCCAATTGTGTAATTTTTGTGTGAAGCTTGTGATTTCGAAATTTTTCTTAGAAAGTTTTCGGGACTTGTAGATTTGAAATTTAGGATGAAATTGCAGCCCTATTTATAAATTTAGTTAAAAATCCTGCCGCCATGATCCTCATTACACGTAACCTCAAATTCTCATATAAAATACATATTTAAATGTTTAAACATAATACTTTGCAATTAAGCATAGATTGATAATATTTATTTAAAAAAAATTTCATATTTTATATAGCATTATAATAAATATTCCAAGTATAAGTATTTGATTTTTATGTATGTATTTTTATGTATTCAACAAAATTTAAAATTTGGAAGGAAAAAGACTAAAAATTGAAGAGGTGCTAATATTTTTACTAGCTACCGGAAATTTAGTTGGTTGCAGGCTAACAACATTATTCAAATTCTTGGAACCCTATACATATGTACAGTATACTCTTGATATCTCGAACTTCTCTATCTCGAAAACCTTTTTATGCTAAAAATAATATTTTCCCCTGACATAGCCATCTTATGTTAATTTGAATTCCTATGTCGAAGAATTTCTTCTCAAAACCTTCTTATGTCAAATATTTTTCATTACAGGAAATGAAATTTTTTTTTTGGAAAAATCCTAATGCAAGCTTATTCTAAAACAATTCTTTCCTAATTAATGCACAATTATTTTTGTCTTACCTTGAAAAATTATCATTGCTGTATTTAGACTTCTAGTCAACTATCATTGTATACAGAGTTATTAGTGCAGTTATTCTTATGTTTCATGACTCAACTTTTTAAAACATATTTAGCTCAACTTGTTATCTCTCAAAACTTGCTGTCTAGAAATTTTTTAAGCCTACCTCCAACCTCTGGGTGACGCCCCAATTAGCCGACAGCATAAAAATCAGGTACCAGGCATGAATCATTAAACTTTTCTTTTTAATCTCATGAATTTTTAAAAGTAAGAAAGCAGACTGATAAAATGCAAATTATTATTATTTATTTTTTGATAAAATAGGAAATTAACAAGAGAGCACACTGCTACTATGTTGATGAATGGAGTTTTTGTTTGTCTTGAGAGAATTGTCAAAATAAAAAGAAGAAAAAACTAAGTCTTCGTCAATGTTCGAGGTCAATCTAGATGCATTTAAATAATTTCATATTTTATTTCATTTCAGTATATTTCATAAAATCAATGTTTGGCTTAATATTTCCCTATGACAACTAAGCAAACTTCTACACTGAATAACTTCTTGATTTGACTTCCAATCATTTATGTTTTTTTATGAATTTTTATTTATTTAGGAGACAATGTCTGTGTCAGTACCTATAACTGTTACTGCTTCAACAACTACGACAAAATTATCTCCGACCATTCGCTTTGATCCTGCTTATATTAAAACTATTCCTGGTATTCTGAAAATTGTACAGTGTGTAAGTATAACTCCTTTCATATGAACTTGTTTTAAGGTCTTGTGTTGTAGGTTGTACGCATATAGCAAAGAAAAATGGAGAAGTGACTTGATAATCACTATTTCATAACCTGATATTTTTTTCACCAAATATCTCCTGTGTCCAAAAGATTGGATTCCCCTCATTGAAATATATTACATCCCATTATTAAAATGTTTGTAACTAATTAACTTAAAAAGTTTAAGGCAAGCTAATTTTTCTACATTCGAATTGATTGCTTTTCTATAATATTGTATTAATATATTGAGATTAAGTCAATATTAAGCAGGGTTGGGTTTTTGACGTCAAAAAGTGGTTTTTGACATGACAAGGGTATAATACTGGTTTAAACCGTCAAAAACCCGTCAAAAATGTCAAAAACTGAAGTTTGCCAAGAAAATATATAAACTTCAAAACTACCAACAGTTGCCATGCATTATATTGAAATTTAATTATACTATAGGTAATCAGCAGGTTTTAAAATATTTTTTAATTAAAATTAAGGTAAAATAACAGATTTAAAATCTCAGAAATTTATATTCAAATGCATGTGCAGAAAAATTTTGCACAAAAATTGTTTAAATATTTATATTTAAAAAAATTTTTTTTTTCTTTTTGATACTTAAGAAAATTAAAAGTTTATTACTATGCATTTTTGACATATAAGGAACATATAACTAATATTTATAAGGAACTTACAAGTTATGTTGTATAAATACAAACTTGATACAAGATACAAGTGTATAAAAATTTTTTTTTAATGTTATACCGAATATCTTTATTATCCAGTATGTTAATTTGAATTTAAAAGTAGTTATATTTATGAATAATGATAAATATAATTCATATTGTTTATTATATTTATTTATAATTATTACACTTATCATTTTAAAACAATTTTTATCTCTTAATTTTTTTTTCTCCACTTGTATTAAGAATACAAATAATGCATATCTTGAAAGCAAGAAGTAATTATTCAACAGCTGAATATTTAGATATTCAACAAAACTATATAGTATTCAGCAAAATGAAATTCACAAGTATTTGGATAAACTAAATTTTCAGCATAGTAAATGAATAGGCTGAATATACTGTAAATCGACACTAACTACTCTGTGTATTTAACAGAAAGCACTTAAATTTGTATTGTCTTATGTTAAAAAGATTATTAAGAAGATTTAAAAGAATATTAAAAAGATTTTTCTTTAAAAGATGTCTAATGTACAAAACTGCTAATGTTTATCTTTAAAAATGTCTAATTTTTAGTATAATCTATACTATACACTAAATTTGGTTATAAATAAATTTCTTAATAATATCACTGCAGATTTTCAATAACACATGAAAATGAATACATAATATTACAAAAGATGTGAGCTTTCAAAAGTACAAGATTTTGGTTACTATTCAAAATATAAGTGTTTCTTCAAAATTTTAAATTTATTTTTTCTAGAACATATTTAGAAACACTATCCTTTATAAAAAATATATAAATTTTATGTATTAATTAAATTTCACATATGAATATAGGTTTTTGACATTTTCGACATTTTTGACAGTGAGGTTTTTGACGTGACGGTTTAAACCATGGTTTAAACCGTCAAAAACTGTCACATGTCAAAAACCTGCCAACCCTGATATTAAGATAGTATAAAAAATTAAAAACCTCTGGAATCTTATGTGACAGGCTTTCTTAGTTTGCAATTTGTTGTTTGTACCTCTTGTTTTTTCTTTGGTTTTCTTGATATTTTTTCTAGGCTTAAGTTTAATTGTTTAAAATTTTGGTTTAAAAATGATACATAATTCACACTATCATAGTATTTTTATCATTACATGTTTGATTTAAAGTGATTAAAGCTGCTATTTCACATGTTTTTTAAAATTAAAATTTGATAAGCAAGGTTTATGTTCTTTAGTATTTATTACATAATTCATTAAATCTACCACTACAATCCAATGTTGGTAATTATTGTAATTCAATAATTGTGACATAACGTTAACAGCATAGTTTGAGTCTTGCAAAATAACTTCACGTCATCAACATATACTAATAAAATAATGTTATTCATTTTATACACACATTTACAACTTTTGACTTTTGTGAAACCAATTTTTAATAAGTATCAAATTCTGAATTCCATTTTCTACCTGATTGTTTAAGTCCAGTTTTATACATTTGTTTGGTATATTATTAACTGGGTTTGTACTGATGTTGAAACTGTATGATTTGGTATAGGTCTGCACTATTTTTTTCACTTATAAAATGTAATTTTGTGTTAAAAGAAATATGATACTGATAAAATTATAATTTTGTTCAATTCAGTTCTGGGATGTTGCAAAATCAAAGTGTAGAATCAAAATGCACCAAATCTGGTTGGTGATTTAAAAAAATCGTCAAAAATGGGTGCATACTTATAACAAGTCAGTTCTATGATTATTAAAATCTTCATGTTTATAGGTGGTCAGTTTGATTGGTTTCATATGTGTCCAAACAGTCGCTTATGCAGCCTATTCTTCTCCTGGCGGCTGGTATGGCTTTGTTGCAATGACGGCTTTCTGGGTGACTCTGCTACTGATTATTGGCTACTTGTTTCACATTATTGAAAGAACTCATTTCATTCCATGGGTGCTTGTTGTAAGTTGATTTTTCTTAGAATGTTGCTCTATCAAGGTCATTGGTGTCCACGAGACATGAGTATTCGAATTACTTTGACACCACCCTCTGAAAAGGTGTCTTTTGGTATATTACTAATATTCTAAAAGATTCAGCTAAAAAAATAATATTTAGATATATTCCCTGAGCATCATAATTTTCATTTAATGGCTAAACTTATTTATATCTATAAAAAAATTTATTAATTATTTTCTTAAGAGAATATTGCTATTGAGCCGCCGAATATTCGCCTGATTTTTTTGGCCAAATATCCGGCTATTCTTCCAAATCACTATTCGTTACATCCTTAATGACAATATATAAACAATACTTATCAAAAGTTTTTTGGGTCACTTTGTATTTGCCATTTGGTGCACTTAGTGCAAAAACTGCTTAAAGTAACACATTAAAACATTTTTTATTAAAAAAAAAATCTATACTACAAGCTAAATATATTTTCACCACATCCATCTTAACTTTTTTTAAAATTAATGTTGTTCCAAAGCGTTAACATTTTAAAAAATAAAAAGCAAAATCTTGCTAAGTTGTTAAAATAAATTTAGTCTAATTATTTTTTTAATGTGACGTATTGAAAAACTAACTTTTTAAATAAAATACTTTATAATATTGGTACTTTTCTTGTATCCATCCTACACTTAATGAGGAAGAAAACAACACTCTGATCTGGAATTTTTAAGATTCTTACCTGGAAAAATCAAGAAAATTTGAAACCTGATTTGTATGACCACCCTGCAACTTTTCTCTTGTTTTCAAAACTATCAAGTCTTTTCTATCTTATAAATGATTTTTTAAAAAAAAAACTTGGATATTTTAGTTTATTTTTGGAAAAAATGTATCTCCTGAAAGATAGTTTAGTCACAAAATAGAAATTCTGTTCAGCTTCTTAAAAATTAAATAAATAACAAAAAATATAAAAAATAAAAAAACTCCAGTTAAAATAAATTGCTTCTACTACTAGTTGATTTATTTTTACACATCTTACCAACAGTCTTTTTGGCCCAGAAAAAGGCATGTACAATCTAACAAAAGGCTTTACACATCTAACATTGTTACACAAAAGGCTTTACATATCTAACATTGTTACTAAAGGCGTTCGCTAGTAGAAAGTCCCTAATCAAAGTCTACTGAATCAGTTGTGTTTTGTTATAATTATTTCTTTTTTATTTTTAAATATATATATGTGTGTGTTTATTTCAGGAATTAATATATTCTACTGTGTGGACTGTATTTTTCTTTATTGCTGGATGTGTTGCTGCTTCTAGGGGAGGCATGGATCCTGCCTGGGGAGCTGCTTCAGTAAGTATTAGATTTCCAAATATCTATTTTTGAAAAATACTTTATTACATTGTATAAATATAATTTAAATTAAAGCATTTAAAATAAATCACGATGAAGCACTTGAATCTAAATTACTGGTTTCGAGCATAGTAATACAGTGCTACCTAAATCAATTTTTTTTTACTTTTTCTGAAAAAAAATTAGCTTGATCAATTTCAAATTAAAGGCAAAATGTGGAGATTTCTTTGTAATTATGCTATCGTATTCAGACATTTGATTCTGTGGAAATCTGAAACAATATTTGCTGAGAAAGCAATCGACAAATGACGATGAAACTGTCATGAATCCAGAATGTCTATTTAAATGCTATTGTTTTCAACAATTATTGTTATACTTCTATGGTGTGGCCCTATAACACAGAAAATAGAAAGTATTTTTAATTGAATTTTTGTAGTTGAAGTATTTTTAATAGTGACTACTTTTTCAAAAATAATTAGTTGTAAACAAGTAAGATAAAGCTTTTGATATTACTAATGTGACATTTCACCTACATTTTATTGCATCTTTATTTCTTGTGTTGGATGTTTATTGTTGTATTTGTTTGTATTCCTTGCTATAATTAATGTTAGCCATTTTTTTAAAAGAATTTTTAACCTTCCGTTAGTCGCGCGCACCTCACAGGTGCATCCCTACTGCACTTCCACCTCCTTTGCCGTCAATAGATTTTTCCGGAGGTCGAGCCTAATGTTATGTTCCTAACTTTGGATTACTCAAATGTCCGTGTAAAACCGACCTTAGAACATGTCGATGGAGAGTTGGAACCGCTCAAATCACCCCTCTGGTGCAGCGCGACCATTGACGCAAGTATTATGGATATAATATTTTTATGAATTAAATATATATATATTTTATCTCTTTTTCTGTCCTTCTCAACGTAGCAGGTATAAATGGTCAAGTTATATACACAGAAAATGGTTACGGAGTAAAAAACCGCAGAACCTTCTTGCGTCAATTGGTTGAACATCTTGTGATGGAGGAAGAGATCCGACGCAGGAGCAAGAAAAATTTATCTTCGGTACTTCGCTAAATAAGTTTTTTGATATTTATCTCTCTAAAGAGTCTTAAATTGGTAACAATTAACTATTTAAACTAGACTAAATTTCATTTGGCTTTAAAAAAATCAGAAACACCTCATAGGTGCAACGTGATTAACCATGTCGGAAACAAGTGCGCGACTAACGGAAGGTTAAAAATATAGTTGCAAGGTTCATTTCTAATATGAAAAAAAAAAGTTTAAAACAAGTGTATTAAAAAAAATATTTAATAATTCTATGTTCACTAAAAAAAAATTTATATTAACATCAATTGTATAAAATTATAGAAGCAATGAATGGCTATTAGAAGGCGACTGGCTGAAAAATGTTTAATTGCCGTTTTTTTACATCTAGTTGTTCATTGGCCTGCGATGACCGTTAATTTTGCCCTATAAAGTGAGTTAAATGGTATCAGAATAAGACATTACGGAAAAATTAATATTTAAATTTAGGCCACCAGCTATAAAAATTAAATAAAATCAGGGAAAAGTCTAGTGTTTGTACCCTTTATGTTCTAGCTATTAATTCAATTTAGTTAAAAAAAAAATGCTATATTACTTAATATACAAATAACAAGGGTAGAAGTGTTTTATATAAATTTAAAAAAAAATAGTTGCCAATAAATGTTGAAAGCTAATATATTTTTTGTTTTGTTTTAGTTATTACTTTTATATAAAAATATCTTGCAGATGATTTTCGTGTATTAATTCATTTCATTTTAATTTTTACATATTTTGGTATTTTTTATTTAGTAGGTGTGTCATTAATTTCCAATACTTTTAAAGTTTATTGTCACATTAAGACAATTTTCAAAATCTATAGCTTTAATTCCAATCAAATTGATCACAGCAAAGTGGGGATTAAAATTAACTAAACCTGGTTTATTTGTCTAGTAAGTTTGCTTTATATCATAATGTGTTACAGCTTCGTCTTTGTCTAGATATTAAATGCCAGTCATTTTTTCACATAGTTTGTTTTTTATGTAATTTTTTACTAATCCAGTAAAACCTAGATTGATATTTTCTATTATGACCATTTATTACAAACAATAGAAACAGGAAAACGACAAATGCTGGTCAATATGAAATATCACATAATGGCTTGAAATTGTACGAAATTAATGAACTTAAAAAAAGTTATGAATTAGTTTTTATATGTACTTATTAAAAATTTATTTATAGCGCAAAAAAAGGACTAAACACATTTATTTATTTAAAATATTTGGAAATTTTGGTTTGACCACTCTTTTCTCTATGCGAACAATAAGTTCTCAAAATTTGCAAGTTTGCTGCTTTTTTTTCTTTAAATTTTGGTAAATACAGAATGTTCCTCATTGTTTCTAAGGCTTGGAGGCTTTCCGCGTAATTGTTAGCACTAGTTGTGATTCCGCTACACTATCTTTATCAGTATCACTTTGCATTTATTTAATTTCTGCAACCTTATCTATAATAGACAACGCCACAAATTTCAACATTTTCATCAGCTGATGCATAATTATCAAATGTGATGCTCGAGGCTTATCAACAAACTATCAGAAATCCTCTTCCCCCCCCTTCCTTTACCACGAGTATCATGAGCTACTGTTTTACTCTTCAAAACAAAATAACTTAAATTTTTAAAAAGAAATTTTTTACAAGAGTTTATGACTAATAGACGTGGGAGTCTTTTAGTTTCAAAAACGATCGTAACTGGTTTTATTAACATGATAAGTAAAGCATTTGTTTCGCGACATTTAAAACATGACCAAAAGAAAAATGCTGTAACGCTAGAACGGCGTTCGACTGTATTCTAATTACAATGTTTTATTTAAATGAAATAAATAATTATGTTACATGTCCCAGAAAAGAAAAATTTCTTCCATTTTTTTATTTTTAGTTTTTTGCTTTTGTTGCCATGCTTCTCTATGGATATGATGCTTATGAAAGGTACATGCATTGGCGAAATGGGGGCATTGCTCAAGGTGAAAGGACTACAAATACAACTAATGCACCATCAAATGCTCCAAGCTATCCTACATATTAAAAGTGAGTATCCATTACAAATTATGCCTCTTGAGTCATGAATGGCACAGGGGATAGAGCATTTGCCTTCCAATGAGGTGAACCAGATTCGAATCCCGGCGATGGTTAGGTCGATACGAATTCTGCATCCGGCTTACACCGACCACAGTGCTGACGTAAAATATCCTCAGTGGTACTCTGATCATGGGTTAGAGTCCCCTTGCTATCAGGCTAACCTTGGGATGATTACATGGTTTTCCTCCCCAAGTAAGGCAAATGCTGGTCAGTTCCATTAAAAAGTCCTCCACGAAGGCAAATTTTTCACAATACTTGATTCAGGAGTTCCCTTGTCTCCTGGATAGGGTTCAAAATTACAAGGCAATAGCGTTGAACATTAGTAGTCGTAAACCCAAAAATTAGGTCCGCTGTTCAACCACGGTTATAAAATAAAATGATGCCCCTTAAATTGCTTGCATTTTTTACTTAATTATAAGTACCATTACTATTCTTGTATTATTTTTTTTGTCAAGCTTGGTTTATTCCACTATTTAAGCCTCATTGCATTGCTAAACTATAGACCTTGGTATTAGCATTTTGAGAACGCAATGAGATACAAGCAAACAGTTACAGTGTGGAAACTTGAATCAAGTTGTTGTAATGAGATTTAAATTTCAATCCGGTTTTATCTTGCATCGGAGAGTTATAAATATAATTGTGTTTTGTATTGAAAATGAGCGATGATTCAAGAAGTGATATTCTCAATCCATTTTGGTAGGGATCAACTTTTAGATCAAGTCATGCAAACTGTTTGCAGAGAAGGAAAAATGACCTTTTAAAAATATATGAACTCTTGATAAAAACAGAAATTTCCTGCTTTAAAATTTTCCAGAAAACTGTCATTCCTACGCAGTGTGAATGTATTAACCTTAATTCAACTAATAATTTATCATTTTTAATTAAACTTATTAACTCTTTCTTCCTTTTATTTAGGTTAAAGAGAAAGCTTTTTTTATATCGAAGACAACAAAAAACGGAAGCATCTCTGATAACAGCTATTGGTGATTTATTTTTTAATAGTTTCACATAATACTTTAAATTCTGGTATGATCATGATTATTTAGAACTTTGGTGCTAAATATATTAATATATAAAACAAATTAGAACATATTTTATCTTTTGTTCACCTTAAGTACATTTACACTAAACATGGTTTCCATGTCCTTTTTTTCTTAATTGTTCGAATTTTAATAAGAATATATATTTTGTAGTTTTTATCACATGTTGTCATATTCATTAAAAGTGCTTATATACAAAACAGAAATGTTTTTATACACTTTGTATTGAATTTATACATTTGAATAATTAGAAATTGAAGATAGATTTTTAGAATAAGCATCTGCTTGCTTGAATTGTATACAAAATGCTCTCTTTAGTTACATTTGATTGAGCTCTGCTAATTTTAAAAGACTATTTTTTAATACTCATATATTATTTGATAAAATATATATGTAGTTGCAATAAGGAATCTGTATATTAATGGGTGACAAAATAATAAAAATTTCATTCTAGTGTTAGCTCTAATAAAAAAAATATTTCAACTTGGAGGAAGAGTTTTAAACATATTTTTACACCAAAATTGTTATTTTGTTTTTAAAAATTTAAATTTTTACAATTAGGGATATTTGTGTTAACTAATGCAAACTAAAGCAGAAGTTTTTAATTTCTCGAATAAAAACTGTCTGAAAGATGCAAGTAGATTTTATGCAAGTTTGAAAATCGGCATATTCACCAAGAACTATGCTTATTTACACCAAAAAATAATGTTTTATGAAAGGTATGAGCAGGGTATTTTTAAAAACATGATTTATAAAATAATGCAATTTTAGGGTTGTAGCAGTGTTAGTATTACAAGGATGTCAATTGCAAGCTCAATAAAATTTAGCGTCAATTTTCGATTTATGTTGGTGGCCTTTCAATATGCTAATATCTTCTTATTTTAAATCCACTATTTTGCAGTTGAAAATTTTTTTTATTTGTTTACCCATTTATTCTGTAATTTAATAATTCAAGGGCACGTATTTCAATGTACTGAGACTACAAAACCTTCTTGCAATTAAAGCTTATTTTATCAATTTTGAAAGTTTCATTTGTGCTTTAAAAATACTATGTTCTACATCCCTAGCATTATTTTGTCACCCATTTGTTCACAACTTCAATTCTCTTTTTTTTCTTTTTGTCTGCATGTCTAATTCTTTGATAAATAGTGATGATTAGATTAGTAAGACTGATTTAACATAACTTAAAAATTTCAAGATTTTTTTTCTTTTTTTACATTGCATAAAAGGGTTGAAGTAATTTTGTAACTCATATTTTACTAAAAAAAAAGTTTTTTTTTTTTTGTAGAAAGTTCTACACATATTATTATTTAAATATGTTTCTTTAAAGGCAAAAATAAGTTAAGATTGACGGCAGGTTAAAATTTTCCAATTTCATAATTCTTACTTTTTTAATACATTTAGTCTAATATGTTAGTTGTGAAAATTTATTTTTGATATTTAACACTTTTGATGGTCATTACTCCCACGGAGACTAAATGTATATATATATTTCTGTATCAAAATAAATATTAAGCTCAAAATATATCTTGCTATTTTTATGAGAATAATCTATTTTAAGAGTTTTCAAAATTTCTTATGAGACTAAGGTAGCTTATCATTGCTTCTAACTTACCAAGGTGGTTTTTATTACATGAAACTCAATTTGAGAAATTAAGTTTAAATTATATTAAATTTAATTTAGTGTACAACACCAGCAAAAGTTTTTTTTTTTTTTTAAGGAGAGACTTTTTTTTATAAAAAAATTATATAATGTATATTTTTGTAATCAGTATTAACCTTCCCCAAGAGGAAATGTACCCACTATAATACTGTAAATAATGAGGTGAGGATGACATTCTTGTTAGAGTAGTTATTATTATTATTTTTTTTAAGTAGCCAAGTAACAAAACAGTTTAACAACCTACGAGGTTTTGCTCTGTTTCAATAAATTAATATATTTGACTTCATATTTTTAAGGCTGCTTATATATTACATTTGTTTTGCATTAACATATATTTAAAATAAATTTCTTAGAAATAGTTAGATTGTAGAGAGCTTTTTTAGCTCTCTGATGAACTCCAGTGCTTTATATGATTTTTCAATGCATTGTTTATACATATATATTTTTTCATAATTTAAAAATATAACATCTGAGTTATTTATTTAAAAGTTGTGATGTTTTTAAAGTGTTTTTATTCAAAACTTTTTTGGTCTATTTTGAAGACCTGAGCCTCTTATTTTTAAGTATATCCTGCAAGATGTTGTTTTTTTTTAGCAAGAACTGAATGTTACAAAATTATACTGAGTGTTACAGGGACCTGAGAACTACATTAAAAGTATACATGATAAATATTTGTACAACACTTAACTTGTTTAATACGCATGTGTGATGTTTGCTAAGTGGCTTTTTCCCAACATTTATTATTTAAAACACTTGTGTGTACTGTGTATATAAAAAAGCGCCATATTCTCACTGTTATATATTTTGTATATTTGATTTTGTCAATAAAAAAAATTTCGTTAGTGGAAAGTATTATTTCGCCTTTATTTGCAATACTGTAGAGCGATTTATTTATTTAAGGTTATCTATGGCAAAATAGTAATAAAATGTAGTTTCAATTCTCTATTAAGAGCATGAGTTCCACAATATGAAAAAAATTCTAGATTGAACTTGTTTTCGACCAATTAATGTAGTCTAGCATTTTGTTTATCGGAATTTACCGAAATTAATACCTCTCTGACACCAACATTTTCCTTTCTTTGTTAATGGCTTGCTCTAATCATTCTTCTTGCAATCATTCGGTTATTTTTTACAGCAAACAAAACAAAAATAGCAGATATCCTTATATATCTTGTTACATCTTTCACTAAATACTAAACTACTAACGTTTTCCTGAAACCAATATCTTTATTTACTTTTTAATTCACCAATATATATTTCTTTGTCCGAGCATTACATTTTTATTTTTTTACCTTGGGCCATCATGTCAAGACATTGCGAGGGAGGAGGGTAGTAGAAATAATAATAAAAAAAGTAAGGTAATAAAAAAAAGGGGGGTAGTAAAAATATTATTCACAATAATTGAGAAAAATAACAATATTTTCCTTAAAATGTAATATATTTTTTTTATTTTTAACCAAAAATATGTACCATTTTAAAGGTAAAAAAGAAAATTGAATTAGTAAAAAATTGCAAAGAGATATTAAATAATAGAATTTACTATTAGAATTACTTATTAAGGTTTCGTTTCTCACTATCTTGAATTTGAATTCATTGAACAAACCTAACAAATTTTTGCTGATAGAGTAACAATTGACAGAACTATACATTTAAAAAGATTAAAAATCTCACTTTATTAGATCAGGAAAAATAGTGTCATGTCTTTTTCCCTTAAAACTGTAAAAAAAAAAAAAAAAATTAGCAGTCTGAAAGACCTGTAACTAAAAAATACTATTACTCTGTACATCATTTTCACTGGTCCATATACCTGTCTTATTAGTTTTTGCAGTTAATAAAGTGAATTAATATCAAAAATTATAAGAAGTTTGTGCAATATCACATTATGATGAAATATGCTATTTTGTGACGAGAACCAAACTTGCGACCAAAACTTGAATCTGAAAATCAAAAATACACAACAGTACTCTTCCTTTTACATTGATTGCTGGTCTGTATTATGCTTACCTGTTTGCATCTTTTCTTTTCGGTAATACAACCATAACACATTTGTAATTGTTACACATTCGTTAAAAAATATATACTTTTATTCCTAACCAGTGTAATCTTAGCCAAGAGGTTAACACGCTTGGTAGAAATTCTTTTCTATCTTAGGGGGCAGGAGTTCGAATCATCACATAAATACTTTTACCCCCTCTTGTAAGAATAGTTATAAAAAGGCACATTGAGTTTTCATATGTTAGTTTTTAAATATAAAATTGTATCTAAGTGTATAAATTTAGTTTGCCTAAATATTTTACTATGTATCAAGTAGCTGGCCATATTTAATTATACCTGTTATTAGCCTAATTGGCAAGATAATTTCACAACTAGGTGCTTGGACCCAATTACTAATCTCAAGACTCAGACCAGGCCAATTTTACTGGGTAACATTCATTTATATTCAAAACACCATATTTAGATTTATAGTACCATTAAAACTAATCGTAAAAATAGTTGTAAATTCAGAAATCCGGGATTTCTATCAGTTTCTTAATAATCAAGCTAGAATAACTAATTTTAGCACAACATTTTTTACTCTAGCAGAATTTTACTTTGGGGAAATTCTTGAGAAAGGACACCTTTGGAAAATATGTTTATTAGAAAGAGATATAAGGACACGCAAATCCAGAAATCTGAAAACTTTTAACTAAATTGATAAGATTAAATAAATACAAAATTAGAAATAATAAATTACATAGATATTTATTTAAAGCTAATAAAATCTTAATAATTAAAATTCAAAGGGAACTGAGATATTACTCTCATACTAAGTTAGCTTTTAGCAAATAAGTAAATGCAAAAATAAATTTTTAGGTTTTGTAGGCTTAGCATTTTGTAGTAGTGTATTATATTTTATTAAAGTATAGAAGCATAATATAGCAGGGGTCTGTCTAGGTTTTTCTGAGAGGTACCTGTTTTGTGAAAATTTAGACATAATTTGTAAAAAAATTATATTAAAAAATCAACTCAAAAATATGGATTTATAGTTTCTTAAGGGATACAAAAATAAAATTTTAAGAAACAGTATTTTGTGAAGCTACTGTTTTTCCTAAAGTTGAATTTGTGAAACTACCGCTAAACGGTAGTAAATTCGGCCTGGACAGACCCCTGTATAGGCAAACAAGATGAAACAGCAGTTGCAAACACAGATATTTTTTTTAAAAAATTGTACATAAATTATTCTACTGCTTTAACTTAAACGCCCTTGAAGATTTTATTTTTTTGTGAATACGAATGCATATTACAACTAAGCCTATTAATTTGAAAAAAATCGATAATCAAAAATTTTAAAAGTTAAATTTTAATCTTAAAAAACAAAAAATTCATTCGGAAACATTTCATTACATTTTTAGTATTAGTTGATTTACATTCATATCACGGTGCATAGCCAGATTTTCAGCAAAAAATAAACTCCTCATAAAGCAATAATAAAAAAATGATGAGCTTTTTCTTTGGGAGACCACTTCGATCAGTCTGTGTAGGGATCAAGGGTGCACGGCACCAGTCCTCGTTAAACTGTTCCGAAATAAAGTGCTCGACTTTACGTGCAGGTCGTTGGGCTACCAAAGCAGGGGAGCTATCCCCTCTGCAGAGGATCAAAATTGCGATGGCATGTCTTCGGATCATCCTCAGGGATGTTTTCCAGACCGTCGCCAATAGCTCATTGTGCAGCTCTAGTGTGACATAAAGAAATACCTACCTACTTAATTATGAGATTTTGTTAATTGAGTTTTAAAACGACTGAATTCCCAAAAGTTTGAAACAAAAATCCTGAGGAAAAGCCTAAAATCATGAAGACATTTTAAAAGTGTTAAAAAAAGATGTAATCAGACTTTTTTTCAATACTTTTTGATTTTTAAAGTACAGCAAATGGAAGTAAAAGTTCAAAAGTACTTTCTAATGTTGTTTACAGTTTTGAAAGGTATAAAAATTGCCAAGTCAAATTAAATATCAAGATTTTAAGTATCAAAAACGAAAAATTTAAACAATTATCTCGGAGAATTAATCAGTTAAAAGATGATTTTTTATTGAAACTAATTTAGTACATTAAAGGCACTTGAAACATTGTTACAACTTTCCTTTCCAGAAAGAAAGAAAAAAAAGTTCTAACCAGCATCAACCTGTAACCGATATCCTCATAGCAAATGGTAAAAAGCTGTACTACACACTTTGGGTTTTGGGGAAAAATTAAAAGGGGGATAAACTTACACACTATCTAAACTAATATGAATGATATTTAAGCTGAATCACACGAGATAAAACTTAAGTTGATCAAACTGATAGTTTAGAAGTTAAAAAGGTTCTATGTATGAAAAATATACTGATTATCTATTCACACACCTGACTTAGCAATTTAGCCAAAATAAGTATACTTTTCTATGAAAATTTTTCTGAAGTGCTAAATTGAAAGAAATTACACAGGAATCAGCAAGACCAGCATTTCAGAAGTTGCAATGGTTTTCATGATTAAAAAGTATTATTTTTGATTATGAATACAAATTATACTTTTCTATGATTTTTGTTGTTGTGCTAAATTGAAAGAGATTACTCAGGAATCAGCAAGACTAGCATTTCAGAAGTTGCAATGGTTTTCATGATTAAAAAGTATTATTTTTGATTATGAATACAAATTATACTTTTCTATGATTTTTGTTGTTGTTGTGCTAAATTGAAAGAGATTACTCAGGAATCAGCAAGGCTAACATTTCAGAAGCTGCAATGATTTTCATGATCAAAAATACTATTTTTGATCATGATTCATTTGTTTATTTATGCACTTGATTAAGAATTTTTTTACTAACAAGTACGAGATTTTTATGAACAGAAGAATCGTTGAGTTTATACCCAACACACTATAAAACCAAAACTACTGACCTGCCAACTTAATTATTTAAATAAAATAATAATCCACCGAGTTTTCTAACAAGACATTTTTTTACAAAATCTGGAAGGAAAAAAAAGTAGCAAAATAATTAAAGTTACAGGGCAAAATTAAGAAATTCTATAACTGGTCAGTAATAGCATTTTTAGTAATGGCCACTTTTGAAAGAATGTGGCTACTTTTCCAAAAATTGAAAATTCTGAACTATTAAAAAAAAAAAAAAAAAACGTATTGGTATTAACATAAAATAATTCTTTTGAAGCGAATTTGGTCAATGCTATAGAGTTTATTTCTAAAATGAAGAAAATTTTTCCTGACTTCTCATAATAGGATTATTAATTATTATATGTAACAATTTAAGCATTGTATGAAAAAAAATTAAACATTGTATGTAACATCAAATAATAAAATTTAAGGTTTGAGTTTTTGAAAGAATATAATATAAAATTTATGTTAATTAGGATGAGCATGGTCAGAAAGAAAAATCGAGATTGTCCAAAAAGTTGGGGGCAAACATATGGACGTTACGACATCCAAACAATCAACAAAAATGCATGATCTATTAATGTTACACATACAATGAAATTTGCCCCATCACAGATGAATTACACTTCAATTATTTAGAAATTTTATTACTCTTATTGTATAGTATTTATTGAATTTCAATAAAAAAAAGTACCATATAATGTATAAATAAAATAAACTTGTTTAATGGGTGTCTAAAACTGGTAGTTTTCTTTTTTTTTAAATTATTATTTTTTAGTAAACATTTCTTTGATATTCATTAGAAACTCTCTTGTGACCACAACTTTCAATGCAGAAATACTGAGTTTTTTGTTCTTTAATGCAGCTTTTTATTGATTAATATTTTCATATTCCTTTTTTTTTCTTTCTGAAATCATATATTTTATTTAGAGAAAATAATGCCATATCTATAAGTTAAAACTTTCTCAATTTGTCTTTTATAAAATCTATAACTTTTTTTTCTGAACTCTTTGAAATTTTTTGCAGTCTGTTTTTTATGAGGTTCAGAGAGTTAAATGTAGTTAGATACAATTAAAGTAATATCAGTTTTTTTAGATACTTAAATACTATTAATTATTTGATACTAAATTAAGGCATGTGATAAAACAGTCAATAATTAGTAAATGTGAGCTATGTCACATTTAATAACAAAATAGATGAGTTCTGATTTGTTCAAAAATTAATAAATATTTCTTTGAGAATTCTAATTTAAAATTCTGATTGAATGTAACTAATTTATTTCGTACTGTCGCAATTTTTTTTTACAATAATGCGTGAAATATTTAAAATAATAAAAAATAAAGAAACAAAGAGTTCAAATAGGAATGAGATCATCTTATTAAACATAAGACATTTTAAATGCATTCATTTGAAAAATATTCAATATGTTACGCTAGTTAACTTTTAATTCTGGCAACAAAGTTTTTAAAATTTGATTTAGGGAGATTCAAACTTATTCCACCATTTTTTCGACAGATATTACTAACAATTTCTACGCGATCCAGAAAATTCTATACTTTAGAATTCGATTGTCGAACAGCAACGGCTGTTTTAAATCCATTTGGGACTTACACGCTTAGTCTTGTCGATCGTCTTCTCAACAAGTCAGTTCTGGATTTGTTATTTGCACATGGTTTTAAAATCCTGACTTTTTTTCTTATAAATACAATATTACTAAAAAGATATTTTTTTTCTTCATATAATATAGCCCACATTTGAATTTAAAAAAGGGAAAGAAAAATTTAAAGAACAGATTTCCAAAATGCGGAAAGTTTCCAAAATGTGAATGAGTAAATAAAAGGTGGAAAATTTTACATAAAAATATGAAAAGCCTAATATGAGGCTGAGGGCGAAAAAATCTCATTCAAGTTTCAATTACATTTATTTGTCATACAATTTATTTGTCGCAAAATAAAAACAAATCTAAAATAACTGTAATTATAGTAATGGAATAAGATTAACTAATTTAGATTAAAATATTATTTGCAGTAAACTAAATAATAGAAGGTAATATGAAATTAACTTGAAATTTAATAAAACTTTCGAAAAAACAAATTCAGCCCCCCTGAAATTTTGAGCTAGTATAAAATGAGCTGAATGCTCCAGGGATGATTACAGCTTTTTCATGTAATAAATAATACAAGAAGTTAGAAGAACGTATGTTCAGAGTTGCCACACAAATCTGGAGAAAAAAAATTTCTGTGTTTTCCCTGTACACATTTATTATACATAATATATTAAGAATAAATAGAGCAATTACTGTACTCTTATGTGAACTATATTGGGCTAACTATACTAGTTTTAATTTCTGGAAACCTTAGGGAAAAAAAGGAACAGCTGAACATACTTAAATAATGCTACAGTAAATGAAATAGTTTAGTACAGCCGAAATATCATCCTTAAGTATCCCATAGATTGCGCCTTCAGAGTTCACCCTTTTTGAAAAGACGAAAATGAGAAATAAAATTTCTTGTATTTTCTCAGTTAGTAAAGAAAAAATAAAAATTTCCTGCATTTTTACTGTTATGTGATTTTTAAAAAACATGTATTTTACGGTATTTTAGCTAAAAAATAATCAATTTGAAAATAGGTGGCGATAAACAAATTTTAAATTGCCATTTTTAGTTGCCCTGTGGCTGTTAATTCTGCTCTATGGTTAAAATAAATAATCAAATCTCACAATATAATAATAGAGGAAAAATAACCCAAATACATAATGATGTTGCTGGCAAATTCAAAATTTTAATGAAATAAAAAATAAAAGTTCATAAACAAAGAATGAGAAAAAAATAAAAACAAATTTTTTTTTTACCCATAATCATATCACAGATACAATGTAAATAACATTTTACTATAATGCCTTTTTACATTTACAAGGGTCGATTAACTGACATATGCAAGAATAAATTCAGTATTTATTGTTATAAATTCCTGTTATCCAATACATACATGTATGTATAGAACTGTTACAAGACAAGTAGTATACCTACTTGCTTATAAAGAGAGCTTTTCTACCTTAATTGTTACAATATAAGTGAATAGAATTACCATGATTCACTTTTACAGAAGATTAATGAGGAGTCGTTAAAAACAAATTTCACCGTTTTCAGAATTTCACTGGTATTTTAAGTAATTCAGCAGAATCTTGCCAAACATAAAATGTAAATAGATATATATATATATGTACAAATGATTATTTTCAATGATTTCTTTGAGTGACTGCAACTGAATTATCTTTCCGTCTAAAATTGCAAGCCAAACAAAATACTAGTCGGAGAGGATGAATCTGTCGAGAGAGATTTTTCATGTGACTCTTGAAGCGTGACTGGACAAGCGAGACTTTTTCCCTTTGTAATTTGAGGATGATCGGGAGTCTTCATTTCTGATGCAAGACCAGGGCAAAGAGAATTCACTAGAAATTTAAATAGAAATAAATCTTTTGTATCTCTTTTACTTTTAATAATAAACAAACTTTGACCAGCAAAAACAATTAAGATGATGCCATACCACGGAAGAAAAATTTCTTCGTAAATCCTCTCTTTATTACTAATTTAAAAGAAAGTAAAAGTAAGTTCGAGCAACTCCAGAGCAAGTCATGAAGTTTAAATCGCTGAAAAAAATACTTCAAAATATTAAAATCAGGGTATCTGCTACATTTTATATTTTCAAAATCACGACTAATTCCAATTATTTTTCATGACTTAACGAAGTTACCATTTTCTCTGACAAAAACAATACAACAAATTAAAAAAAGCATTATAATAACATTAATTGAAATGATAGTTATAACCAAAACTGTTATACTCTGCATCTTCATATTTATAGATTTTAAATTTAAAAAACAGAGATAGTAGAGTTAAAGCAATAAAATAGCAAAAAAAAATACAAAAATAAGAAACTTTTTTTTCGGCAGAATTATATTCTAAAGATACTTTTCTTGTTCATCGGAAAGGAAAGAAATACTCCTGATTTTTCTGTTCTCAATTCCGAATTTTAAAAAAAAAAAAAAATGCCAGTGACTGGCTTGCTTCAGCTAGAATTTTAAATTGATAAAATAAAATAAAATAAATAATAACAAAAATTATGAAATCATAGAAGTTTAAAAGATAATTTGGTAAAGAAATGAAGTTTTTTCTTTCATTTTTTGAAAGAGTGCCATAATTTTTAAAGAAAATGATGAAAACATTTTGTATTTTAATAAAATATGACTGCGAGTGGGAATTTTGTTACAAATTCAGATATTCAGAGCACCGTGAAATTGGGGGAGGGGGTAAATTTTAATTTAAAAATGAGATTTTTCAACGACCTAAATCCATGACTTTCCTTGATTTTTTTTAAAAAATAGTTTAAATTATGACAATTCATGACAAATTTTGTTCAATATCGAAATTCATGACTTTCCAGGTGTGCAGATACCCTGTAAAATGCAAACAAATTATCAGAAGAGAACTTCTCCATTGCGTAACCTTAAGTTATCATCTCACAGTTTATTTTCATTTTGAAACTTTCTTATCACTATTTAAAACTTCATGGCTTACTCTGGGTTTGTCTGAACTCACTTCTTCTACACTTTAAATTTTAAATTAGTAATGAAGTAGAAAGAGAGATAGCACCGCAAATTTTCTTCCTTGGTATGGCGTCTTCTTAAGAGTGTTCTTCAAATCTTTGGGGCCATTTATACATGATGTCATACTTAGAGGGGAACCATATTTTGGTTAAAAAGAAAAATATTTAAAAACAGGAAATTAAATATTTTTGTACTGTTAATTTTATTTCGTTTTCATCAGAACACGTACGCACTTACACATATTATTGTTATGCTCAAAAATTTTATTAAAAAATGTAATTTGAGTTTAAAAATAAAATTTGAAATAGGATCTACAACATGTGTTTTGTTTCGAAAGAGTTCTTGTACATGTGTATGTAATATAGTGTGACATGAGACAATGAGTAAAGATATGAAATGAGACGTTTTGTGACAAAGAGGTAAAAAATATTGAGAGAAAAAAAGTATGACATCATTTACAAATGGTTGCTTTCCAAAAGGATAATTTAAAAAAATAATAAATTCCATACTTCTTTAAATAACTTATTTGAGTTCTAGCATACAACTGACCTGTGTGGCAGAATCGCGGTGGCATGTCAACATTGTGGCAAAACTTTACAGAGTTCTTGCAGAATACTTTTTCTTTTGGGAAGTAAAAAACTTTCATTTTCTTTTCTGCAGAAATTTGTAAGTAAAATTTTAATTGTGCATTTGAATCACTTTTTGAAGCGCTCAAATTATGCCGACATCGTAAATCCTTTTTTATTGTAATTTCAGCAGTTAGTGACATTGATTTTCACATGGCTTTTAGATATCCTGATATACTTCAGACGATATGGGAAATTTGAATTGCCCATTTGATCATTTACTTTTTAAGGAAATGATTCTATTGATTTATTTTGGCAATTATTGCTTTAGATTTCCACACAGTTTTTAAAATTCAGTAACCCCTTTTAGAAGAGTCTGATTCGCGTGATTACGTCGCCCTGTTTTTTTGGTAATTACTGCTACAGAATGCACATTTAATTGTTTCTTTAATGTGATGATAATTTGCAAAATACGATAAAGGAAATAATTATAAAACGATAAAGGAAAGAAATAATAGGAATACGAAAAGGAATAATTAATAGGAGTTCACTCCAAACAAAATGCAAGAATGTTGCCCATAATATTAGAATAAAAAAATATTACACATTCAATTAAAAATAATTATATTGTTTTTGTAAACACAGCGTGTTTGTTACCTTAAACTAGTAACATACATCTTTGTTATTACTGAAAGTATTTCGCAGAAAGATATTAGCGCTTTCACAGAAAGCCCCAAAAAATTCTGCCGCAGGGCCATTGAGGATCAAGTCAAATGATATCATAATAACTGAATACATTACACCAACATGAAAGGGTTAATTTTGTAAATATAGAAAATTGACATTACCATGGTTGAAAAAGAGGAATAGCACAACCAAAAGCTAAAACTGGCAGCACATCCGTAACTTCAATGTATTCAACTACAAAAAACAAGAATTTAAATAAATATGAAAATTACATTTCAAAGTACTCATATGCACAATTCTAAACAAAAAAGTAGAGTAAAGTAGAAACTGTAGAGTACTGCAGACCACAGCCATACGCCGTACATGACGGTCCTCTCTCTGAGTAGTGCGGCGTGGCTACCCAGAACCCAGTCTCCTTGAAGCAGTACCTTCCCTTGACCATTGCTGCAAACAATCATGCACAGTGGATACATTTCTCCCCAGTCTTTCTGCAATATCACAGAAAGTAAATCCACTTTCTCGCACCCCTATTACACGTTCAAAGTCAGTGAGCGGTAAATAATATCCTACTAAAGGCATTCTTGACTAACAGCAACTCACTATATTAAAATGTAGAGAAAAATAACACTTATGAAATGTAGAACACTTATTTAAAGCAACCCTGATTTGCATGATCAAAGTGGCGCTACTAGCGCTGAAATGCAGAATTGGAATAGACATCATCAGGGTGCATAGTCAAATCTTTCAACAAAAAATAAGCACCTTTTAAGCACTCTAAGAACATTTTTAAGCACTATATACATTAACAAAATGCAAAATAATTATCAAAGACTTCACATGATCATGATAAAATAATCAGTTTCTGACAAAGAGCTCTTTTCTTTACTATATTAGACATTATAAAAAGATCAAGAGGTTTTTCAGTTTGATAACAGGAAGTGAAAAATGAAGCCCGAGATTGAGAATATCTTGCAAAATGCAGCAGAGTTGCACATGACAGTGCAAGAATCTCTCAGAACCCTGTTTAATAGATGTACATATGAACTAGCAAATATTTCATCAGACATTTAAAATGATTGGGGCTTTTATAAGCTATGGACGCCAAAATAAATTGGGGTTGAATGAATTGTAAAAACGTTGAATTGAACAATATGAAAAGCACGCTTTTGCATAATACGTGGTGAAAATCCATGTGGTAAAGAAAACAAAAATCTCCTTTTCAAAAAAGGAAAATTAAAGGACTTTTTAAAAACATCCAATGAAAAAAGCACCTTTAAGGGCTTTTAAAAAACGAAAATAAGCACCTTTAAGCACTTTTTAAAAACGCTATGCACCAGGATCATCTTTTAGTTGTACAAACAAGCCTACCAAATTTACTACATATAGTTCCGTCAATTTCCAAATTTAGATCTGCCAGTGTCTAAACCAATATATTTGCGCTGAATTTCGAATATTAACAAACACAGCTTATCTTTCTATAAATAAATATGAACACTGAATTAATTTTTAATTATATACTTACTTTGCAGAGGATTAGGATAAAAAGAATTGGACTTTTGGTTGATGATTATTTCACCCCCTGATGATTCCTTTGAATTTTTATTCTTGAGCTTTTGGCTGACTTTTTGCTCTCGCAACCTTTGCATGTCCCATCTTAAAAAGAAAATATGCGTTGTTTATCTTAAAGGATGATCGGTATGGAATAATAATTGTTATAACAATGCAGTCACATTTGAATAATTTGTAACTTCAAGATAACAGAGAAAAAAAAAGCATTATAACAAAATGAAGGTTATAACGACAATTAACAATAGCAAATTGAATTGCCCTTACAGCAAGCTTGTCGTTATAAGAAAATATACATATTCAAGGTCAAAATAGCAGTATATTATGCATGAAATAGAACAGCTTTAAGATATCCCTGATAACACTGAAATTTTTTTTCAATAGCAATCTGGAATTCTCAATCAGGAAGGGAAATAATGTGCTATGATAGAAAGGGTTGCCACCGGGAAAAAAATTCCCTCTATTTTTCCGGTACATATTAAACACAATATATTAAGAGGGAAAACGCAACCACTGTGCTCTTGTGTGAGCTATATTGGGCTAACTATACTAGTTTTAATTGCTTGAAAGACTTAAGAGAAAAAAGGTACAGCTAAACATATATGAAACAAATAATGTTACAGTAAATGAAATAGCTTGGTATAGCTGGAATATCATCCTTAAATGTCCCATAGATTACACATTGAGTGGTCACCATTTTTTAAAAGACAAAAACACGACACAAAATTCTCTGGATTTTAAGTTTTTTGTTCAAAAATTCCCAAAATTTTTGTGTAAAATTCCCAGTCATTTTAGGTGATTTTTACATTATTTCCCCTGTATTTTCCAGGCTTTTCCTATTCTCCGTGTAGAGTGGCAACCCTGATAGATATGTGCTCAACAAAAAGGGGCTATTTTAATTTAATAATCTTTTAAAGTATGAGTCAGAATACATAAGAATTAGTAAATAGTAAGAAGGAAGTGCCCATGTATGTTTGCTTTATAAACATAAAGGGTTAAGATTGCAGGAAGGATATAAGACGAAATGATGCTATTTTTTAATTTTCGATATTGATCCAGAAATAGATAAAGATGATTTCCATTTTTCTCTTTTTCACATAGTATCCTTACTATAAAGTCTAAAAATATAAGAAAGATAATTGGTTTGCAAAAGCATGAATAAAAGTAAAAATATAAAAAACTAACGGGCTGGCAAAAACATAAATAAAATAAACACATAAAAAGATAAATTTAAATAATAAAAGCAGAAAATTGACCAGAAAGTTGTTGATTTTTTAGAATTAGTTTTGTGTGGAAATTGAGTTTTCATATATCCCGTTACGGGCACTTTATCTAGTTGTTTTATGATCTTTTCACTATCCCGTTACGGGTAATTCATATTTGTTACTGTTTGTGTTGTTTGTAAATAAAAGTTTTTTATATAAAAAAAAACTGAACAGTTCTTTCACATAGCTTGATTCTTTCATATAGCTACTTAAACAGTAGAAAATCATTGGCGAGTTTTTTTAAAATTAAAACGCAGTTCAAACGCATGTTTGCGAAAATGAACACAGCCTAAGTTTTTAACACCACAGTTTTTAAGGACTTCTCTTGTCCTTAAAAACTCCTATTTCTAAAGTGATCATCGAAGGGGTTGGGCTCGACCTCCCCGTAACTTACACAGAAATTATTTTTATAGGAATTTTTGCTCGCCAAGCCAGCTTTTCTCTATAGAAAGTTATGATTCAATTTTTTTTTTTTAAAGAGAAGTCTTTATGGACGTAGGAGTAAAATTAAAGAACTCATTAAGAAAAAAAAACTAAGGAGCTTTTAAGGACTGTACTTGTCCTTAAAAACTCCTCCTATTTCTGAAGTGATCATTGAAGGGGTTGGACTCGACCTCTCCGCAATTTGCACAGGAATTATTTGTATAGGGATTTAAGGACTTTTCTTGTATTGTGCTGCACATGTTATATTGAGCTTTCACTGTGCATTCTTTTTAACAGAAAAAAGAAAATAAAAAAAACAAGACTTCACAATCAAAGATTTAACACCAGGGTTGGCAAGTTTTTGACACATGACGGTTTTTACCGGTTTATACCATGGTTTTTACCGTCATGTCAAAAAACCCTCTGTCAAAAACCCATAGTTTTGGTAAAACTGTATTTTTATTTGAGTTTAACTGCTTATAATTTAAAATTAATTCATTTTTGGGCAATAAAATTAGAAAAAAAGTTGTTAAAAGATATTTAAGAACAGATTCTTGCATTTTCCCAACATGATTATATCAAAACATACTATTTGAAGTAAAATATTAGGATACTAAACAAAATTTTCAACATTTCCAAGCATCATTTTGTTTGGCATATTACATTACTGAAGAATGTCAAGTCATTCTTGACTTAGAGTTTGTTAGTAGTTACAAGTTTTGAAAGTTTTGTTTAGCTTATTTCTAATATTTAAGAAATGCCAAATTTTAAATTCTTCTTTTTAGTTCTTGAATTTATTAATAGTTCCAAGCTTTTTTGTTTGTTTGTTTATTTCTAGCAATTAAGAAGTGCAAAATTTTTAATCCTTTGCAAATCAAGCTATAATGACAAAAGTATCACTATTTTCAATAAGTATATTACAATATTTCTATATGAATGTATAGTATAGAATAATTCTATAAGAATACATGTATATAGTTGCAAAATCAATAGCAATCATTTACAATGTTCATTTATAAAGGCAATTATGTGAAAATAATATATTGTCCGTTATATGCCATAAATGAAAGAAAACGGTAGGTTTTTGACGGTTTTTACCGCTGTCATGTCAAAAACTAATTTTTGACGGCAAAAACCCAACCCTGTTTAACACATAAAACTATATCAAAGCATAATGTTATATTTTTCATCAAATGAAAAATTAATTACTTGATTATTCATCATCACAAAATGCAAAGTATAAAATTTGTCTTATGAATGTTAAAACATTCACAAGAAACATACTTTAAGATCAAGAGAATAGCTGCACTTTTAGAGAAAAAACAGTCTTTAAAGGAGGTTAGTTGACACCTAATAAATGTAAGATATTTTTTAGAAGAAAAAAGTTATGCCTTACCATGCAACATAATATCAAAAAATAAATTCAGAAAAAGAAAATAAAGAATAGACTTTTTATCCATTTTCACACTTCCATAAAAATTAAATAAATATAAATAAGTAGATTTTTCTTTCACCTCTTGCGTCTACGTTCATCCATTTCACATTTCAGATGCCTCCTTTGAAATACAGGATCATTAATATTCTGGAAAGAAAAAAAAATTAAATAAATAAATAAGATACTATAACATGAAGACAAATTTTACTAGTCATAAAAACGAAAAATACCAAATCATTAAAGAAAAGTTGGTTATTTTTTATTTAAGTTTTCTTAATCACAATTGAAAAGCTTTAAATTATGATTGAAAAATTATATAAATTTAGAAAACTGACCTCAGTTCCTTCCATCTGATAGAAACTTGGAATTGGTTTTAGCTTCCATAAAGGCACTGTTATAAATAAATAAAAAAAATATAGACATACATTTCAATCTACTTAAAAATTATGCACACAATTTTACATGAAATGTTAATTTTTTTTTTCCAGCTTATTTATCAATCTACTAACACTGGTGGTATCTGACAGCAAAAGTCACTATTTAATAGCATCAGTAAATTTGCAGCAAAATAATTTATTAGGCAACAAAAAACAATAAAATACAAATATATTACAAAAAATAGCTGAAAATGTCCCAAATTGTGACATACATCACAGAACAACGTATGCTAGGAGCAGACCTATTTACAGCCGTGTTTTTGTAAAACAATTATTGCATAATTTTGCAAAACAATTATAATTTTTGTAAAACAATATCTAAGTCGCAAGTTTTAATTGCTGTTTTGCCAAGCAGCAAGTTTTTATTGCCACAATTAGTGGCAGCATCAACAGAAAACCTCAGAGTCTTTGAAACATTCATGAACTTTTTGTATTCACAGGATTTTCCTATAAATACAGGAAATGAACAGCAATTCGCTATAAATGACGGGCATTTATTGTTTCTGGTGAGAAGGAAAGAAAGTGTTCAAAACCAAAACTTCCCAACATTTTAAATAAATAAATACGTTAATTCTTCTTTGTTTTGCATCATGAATAATTTTTTTTAAGATGTACATAATTTTTTTTTATTAAAATTTCTTATATACTTATAGCAAATTTATAAACTTTTCAGAATATTATTTCTTTTATATTTTTTGATCATTTTCAAATCATTGTTCGATAATTTATGTTAAATCGCTTTCGTGGATCAACAAATGATCTTATTAGAAACAATTAATCAAGGTTATACTATCTCCTAATGTACTTCATTAGACAATACATTATCGTGAACCGTGATGGCTCAGGGGATAGAGCGTTTGCCTTCCAATGAGGTTAACCGGGCTCAAATCCCAGCGATGGTTGGTCAATAGGAATTCTGCATCCAGCTTGTGACCACAGAGCCGACTTGGAATATCCTCAGTGGTAGACCAATCATGGGTTAGAGTCCCCTTGCCATCAGGCTAACAATGGGAGGTTCTTGTGGTCTTCTTCTCTATGTAACGCAAATGCGGGTTAGTTTAATCAAAAGTCCTCCAGAAAGGCAAATTTCTCCTAATACTTGATCCAGGAGTTCCCTTGTCTTCTGGATTGGGTTTAAAACTGCAAGGCTACGGAGTTGAACATTAGTAGTTATAAACCCAAAAATTGGGTCAGCTGTTCAACATTGGTTATAAAATAAAATACATTATCTCAATATCAAGTATAAAAAATAAAAAAAATTCTACATTTAAATGCACTATTGAGCAACATAGAAAAATAGAATCAAGAATTAAAAAATACCATCTATTGGAGAAGGTTTGTAGGAATCTAGAGTCCAATTATCAGCTACAAAATACGTAGATTCGGTAGTAAGATAATCTCTCTTCACTAAAATCTTCTTTGGTTTCTTACCCCTTTTCTTAAGTATTTTAGAATCGGTTGAATTGTCATTATTTTCTTCAGAATCATTTAAAGTTTCTTGATTATTAATTACATTGTCTTCTTTTTCTAAAACTGGAGGAGGCGTACTTATTAATGCCTCTCTTTGAACCGGTAAATTTTTTGGTGGTCCCAGATATCGCCTAGAAAATAGGAAAAAAAGTAGGAAAAATTAGTTAAATTCTTCTTGTACAATATGAACCTAATAAACGATTAATAAATATTAGTTCCTAAAATAATTAAAGAATTTTTTTTAAAAAAAGAGAGAAAAATCAATTTGAAAAAATTAACATTAGAACTGCTTGATCATGATAAAGAATTCATATTCAAATGAAAAAAAAAACTTATCAGAATTTTTAAATGAATTTGCTGTTGCCATTTTCACTTGGGCTACAAAGTTAATATATCACAAAATTAGGAAATTTTGTTACCAGTCAGTGGCCAGTGGCATTTTTCACGAGGTCATTTTTAAAAATCTGTGGCCCCTTTTTTCGAAAATTAAAAAATATAAACTATTTACAAAAACTGGAGAAAAAAACAAAAAAACATATTAATGTAAAGCATTTTTCAGAAACTTGGTAAACACTACAGGTTTCATACCAAAAATGACAAACATTAAATGAACTGTTTTTCGTTATGTTAACTCATAATTTTTAATGGTAATAGACAAGCAATCTACTATTGATAGTTCTATTGAATTTCCTTAATTAATTAAAAAAAGGAGTTTTATATAAAAATAAACTGAAAATGTTTAGAAAAAAAAAAGAAGCTTTAAACTGATTACTAAAAATGAGGCCCGCTTCATTATGTCTTAGCAATATTTATTTAAATATTCAACCTATAATTTCAATAGGGATTTTTTTAAAAAAAAAAAGAATTTAGGGAATTTTTTAAAATGTGCAAAAACCAGGAGAATTGTTATCAAATCAGTAGAAACTGGTAAAATCCAGTAGACTTGGCAGCCACGCTTACCTTTTCAGAGCTCGTGAGGGCACAGTTTTAGACCTTCGACCAAAATACCGTGTTGCAAGAACAGGTAGATTTGTGTTGATATGTTGAGTGCCGGTTGAAAGAATACAAGCAGAATTATTGTTCACATTGTTGTACTCTAAATTTTTGCACTCTGAAACACTCCGTGTTGTTTCCACTGATGGTTTTGAGAGCCTTTTCCGAAGTAAACACACTCGGTTTTCTTGACGGTTTTGATCAAAGTTAGTTCTCAGCTGTAAGAAAAGAAAACTAAGTCCTTTAAAAAATTATTTTGCATAATGTCAATTTTTAAACAGCTTTTAGTTCTTGACAATTAAGAAAAAAACACTGTTGATGATGGATTGCATTTACTGCGCGGCTTTGAGGAGAACTCCTCCAGACTAAAAGTCTAGGGCTGTTATGGCAACAAGTGACAGCACATTTCTAATGGGTACAGTAGAAGAATGAAGGTGTCGATTGGTTTACTAACGTTGACCTATGTCAAGATCAAGAAAAAACTATTCACCCCACAACCCTATTTGAAGCGACTTTGCCTTGTAACTTTAGTACCAGGAACAACACGAGACTGATGTCTGGAGGAGTTTTCTCCTGAAAGCCGCACTCAGGGCGACTAAGGCAGGGCCATAAGGGGCAATCGCCTTGGGCCCCCAGATCAGAGGAAGGACCACAAATCAAATACAGAGTTTATTTTATGTTTCCTTCTTTTATGAACCTTTTTTTAAACAAAATATCAGTATAGTGAAAAATCCGTCAGATTTATGTTAGCTTTTTCATTAATCTATTATATGAGCACAATCAATATTTCACAAACCCATGGCTTTCAAGTATGGAATTCAGCTAAATTTTCGTAATTACAATGGACAAATTTGGCCAATCAAAAGTCTGTATTTTTCCAAATCTCATTTTTGCGATATATTTGCAAAAAATACAGGCTTCTGATCGGCTTTAATTGAGTCATCATTATTGCCAAAATTTAGTTGAATTCCGCCCTAATGTTCGCTAGGATACGAATTTTTCGCAGCTAGATGACAAAGTTAAAAATCAGAAAGCTGCATTTGGCATGATTTACTTAGAAAAGTCAGAAAATCAATAAAATGGACAGAACGCTAATTTGCCGGCCCATTGGAGGGGCATTTTAGGTTCTAGTCAGTTTTCTTGTTATCTATAATGAGGTGAAAAATTTAAATACCTCCATAAAGTTTGGTTCCTCATTACTGAAGTAGTAAAGCAATGGGGCCCCTAAAGAAGTTTTTGCCCCGGGCCCCAATTAGGCTAAGTTGGCCGCACAATAAAATGGGGGATTCCATATCAAAACAACCAATGGTCAAAATTTCTGGCTTTTGTATTTAGTTAATTTAGGACTCAAAGCTAGTTGAAATAATATAAAATAATAAGTTTCAGAAAATTCACATATTTTTTACAGTAAAGCAAGGGGTACTTGCAAGTGTAAAAGTGAAGTGATTATGCCTAACTATGCGATTTAAATCAGATTTAATTGAATACATGTAGGTGACATCACATGTTTGTTTCAAACCTGATAGGCTTTTGAATCGATAAATGCCACAATTTACCATCGATGACTTCATCTGCAGGTACACAATTCTGGTATTTAAGAATGTTATGTTTGCAGGTATTAAATAGATATAACTCAGTTATAAAATATCAATTAAAATAATTTCTATTAAAGTAACTCTAGGGGCAACTTGTTCTTATCCTGATTTTCAGAAATTTATGTTTTCAAAATTAAAAACTGGGTGTTATGAATGTAACACAGTATGTTACAACCACAATAGCCAGTTCTCGATTTTTAAAAAGGTTTAAATTTCTAAAGATTGGAGTAAGTAAATGGCACCAGGTTAGGAAAGTTTATGACACATGAAAGTTATCAGAAAGGTTTTTACAATTATATCAAAAACCTTAATCTTAGGTAACATTGCATTTTCATTTTACTTCAACTAATTAAAATTTAAATAAAAAACTAATCTCAAAACTTTAAAAAAAAAAAATATATATATATTTTTTAAAAAAATTCTAAGATAAATTTGACATAGAATTATTGATAAAAAATATGACAATGTATTTTTACAGATAGGTAATGAAAAGATTAGAAAACTATGCTTTGACACAATGACCCTGATTACAATTTCCAAAAATGCCATTTTATGTGCAACTGCAGTTTGCATTAATGAGAGTAAATTTTTTCCCCATTATTATATTCAAAAGATGCCTTTTTAGTGCATCAGAGGGGACAGAAATGCTCCTGATTTCTCTTTTCTCATTTGAGAAGAATGAAAAATAAAGAATAAATGAAGAAAAAAAAATTGGTTTTCTTTTCTGCAGGGATTTTCAAAAGATCTTTTTTCTCCAGGATTTTTAGAACAAAAAAAATTGCTATAAAATTAAGTTTATTAGTAATGTTCATTTAAAAAAAAATTTCTGACATGATAAAAATGTCAATAAAAAAAAATAATTAAAAAAAAACAAAAGAAAAAAATTGTTCTTAGTTCCTAAAACAAAACTTTAACACTGAAAATTAGTTTTCTATGTTGCTGGTTATCTATATTACAGTCTGTACTGTAATATAGTGACAATAAGTTAATAATATGAGACGTTCTTTTAAAATGCTGTAGTATAATGAAAACAGCAAAAATGAAAAAAAATCCTTTTTAACTCTTAGAACTAAAAGTTACGGAAAAAATTACGAAATTGACTTGCCTGATAATAATAAAAATAAAAAGTAGAAGTACAGGAACTTGTGGTTCAGCATGAAGTAATCTAGTTTTAATTCTTTAACCCCTTCCTTCTCGCTCCCGTGATATTTCCGGGCTGGAGTGTTCAGTAGTAACGCTCCAATAAGAGCAAAACTAATTCATTTTTTTTGCCCAGAAAACATTTGATTTCTCATTTTACACACCAGATGGCAGTACCAGGATATGTTTTAGGTAATTGTAGATAGTTAGTTTATTTTAAACTAGATGTCAGCACTAATCAATTTTCAGGGATAAAAAATGACCGTTTTTTTCCTTTTTTTGTAAATTAACGGATCGTTGAGGGGTTAAATTTTCGTTTTACCATTTGTCTTCTAGAAGATAAATTTGCAAGCCATGTGCAAAAACAGGAATTTTAAAACTTAAAAAATTTGTGTAAAAACTATTTCTTATAATAAACAATACCATAATACAGTTAAAAATACGATTTTATATTATTCTTTATCATATCTGTACAAATTTAAAGAAAACTTAGAAAAAAACTTTTCTAAAAAATATTCTGACGATCATTCAACTAACTAAATTTTTGACAAAAGGGCCAAATACTTGTTACACCCCTAATTTTAATGCAATGTTATTGCAACCTGAGAAATTCACAAAGTGATGGGAAACGTGAATTTTTAAACTGCTCACTGTTTTTATTTTACTGCTTAAATAAACTTTATCGAAAGAAGAAAAAAACGTTTACCTACTATATAAAAAAAATCTAATAAATCAATAAAGAGAAACAATAAAGTATATTACCAAATAAGTTTTGAATCTCAGTTTGAACTATAACAGCTTTGTTTTTATTTCAGGTGTTTGTTCAAACCTTAGAAATTTTCCTCAATTGAAAAATTTAATTTGAATTACTTTAATATGTATTAAAGGGTTCGAATGGGAGTTAAAAATTTTAAAAAGGGGTAACGAAAATAAATCAAACGTCGATATTTGAATTTCTTGTAACCGCCACTAAAAATTGTATTCGAAAAAAAGTACATATGCATGAAAATTTAAGATTCTAAACCACTTAACGATAAAGTGGTAAATTAAAATAAGAAATAACTTCTAGAATTAACCTAAATTTACTACTACTACTAAAACTTTTCAAAGATCGCGGGAGCCCCATATTACATTTTTTTCATACTTTCAATTCTGTAAGCATGGCAATTTTTTTTTTCGGGGATGGGGGGGGGNGGGGGGGGGGGGGTGTAGAATTTAATTTTAAAATTAACTTTCGTATTGCGTGATATGATAAAATAAAAAAAAATTTCTCCAATGTTTATCTATTCTGATAAATCCATTTTCGATATGATATAAAAAGAAATTTTTTTTAAAAAAAAGTATTAGTTTTTGAATTAATTCTAATAGTTAAACGCCTTTAATTTTCTAAAAATATACTGTTAAGTTAATTGATAAAAAAAAATAAGAACACTAATGTTAACACTAATGTAAATAAGAACAACATGTCTAAATACATGTGAGTCCCATCCTTAGCCAACCTGCTGTGCAAACGACCCATCACTCAAAAAAGTCATGCACCCCTACCATATAAATGATGGGCATCAAATGATGGTAATTTATTTACATATTTCTTGGTAGCCACTTTCTTTTAGTTCACACGTGGTGACCCCTAATCTTACCTTTTATCACAGATCCAAAGAAAAAACTTAACTTTTCTTAATTTTTCCCTTTCATAAAGTTCATCAAAACTTTGTAAATTTCTTGCATAACAATTAAAATATGAGCATTTATTTCATTGCAAACATGTTTAAAAAATGTACTTACTTGATGAATCTTTACGCAATCATTTCCTTTTTAAAAGAAGAGCACAAAAGTATTCCTTTTGCTCAAAATTTTTTTAATAAAATTCCTTCATGTTTAACAAGCATGTTCAGGAAATAATTAAGACTATTTATTCTTAATTATAAGTTATTTTCCTTTCGTGATCTTTTATTTATTGATGGTTTCTATTTCGCAAAAGATTATAATTTAAAATCATAGCGTGTTACGTCTGCAACAAACTAATTTGCATATTTCTTTATTATCTAAAAATAACAATCTCTAAAACTTGATTGTTTTCATAATTGTCATTCTCCTAAACATACATTAAAATCCTTTCTTACAAACTTTGGTGTAATTCATAGAATTATGTAAACAAATTACCCATTATACAATTATGACATATGTGTGTTACACCCATAACACTTAATTTTTATTTTTTAAAAATTTTTCCAATTCTTGGAAATAAAAAAGGTTAAAACAAGTGCAGAGGGCTCTATGATTTATCCTTACTAAGAACATTAAAAGTTAAACACATTCAAAGTCTACAAATGTTGCTTCGGTAACAAGAGAAGGGATATTTCCATATTGTGATCTGTTGCGCCAACTACAATCGTCAAGGTGCCAAATAGATTTTAAACTTGCAATTTAAATTTAAAAAAAACATGTAGATGTTTGCCCAGGGGTAGCTATGAGTTATACCCTTCGAGTTGGTCCCTTTCTGTGATGTTTTTTTATAGTTTTCGAGGGCCACAGCCCGGAAGTTGCCAAGACTTGGCGATTATTTTGCCATAGATCAGGATATGGAACTCCAGACAAGAGAACTGCCTAAAATGAATTCTTTATCAGTATTTGATTTTTTTAAATAAATTGCAATTTTTTTCGTTAGACAGCATACAACAATTAGAATTTCTTATACATTTTTAGTGAGTTAAAAAATTATTACTGGAAAAATTACTAATTGTCATATGAATTTTGAACAAAATTTATAAAACAACTAAAGAAATATTCATATGCTATAACTTAAATGGAACAAATTAAAATTTGTGCAAAACCAGGAAAGCTAAATCAATTGCAGTAATCAGAACTACTAGTACTGAAGTAATAAGTACTTATTTTAGGAACTGTGTTTATAGGTTTTTGCAGCTTCCCAAAATAGTTAAATACCATTTTTTTTAAATTTAACATTTAATCTCCTTTTATGTAACTTGCAATATTACCAAACTGCAAAAATTTCTGGTGAGAAGAATATACAAAAATGCAGCTAGTTTTTTTAATACTATTAATACAATATATAAAACAGTAAGAATATATTAGGAACTGATTTTACATACCTCTCTCAAAAGAAAAGTAATCGGATTAATAGAATAGCGATAGGATAAACAAGAAAAATAGTACATATAAGACTCATACCGCGTAAATTTTTCTAAATTATACTGCAACAACAGTGTTCGAAAATTTATTCGACACCTATACGTAAACAAACTATGCCGAAATTTATTCGCTATTTTTTCCACCATTTTCTTCAAACAAACAAATTTATATAAGTAAACAGAGAAAGAAAATTTAACGACAGTGCATTTGAATGCTTTTGCTTACTTTGTTAGAAGGAATTTCGTCAGAAACCGGTGGATCAGGAGTAGCTGTTGTGATATTTTTACTGTCACTACAATTCGCATATATGTGATCGATTTTACACGCAAGATTATTGTTGAGTATTACATCATTGGAAATAGTGTCAATTGTACAAAATTGTTGGGCTGATTTGGTGCAAGAAAGATGATCGTGGAAAGCAGCAGCAACAGCGTAATTTAGTTCTCTAGCAATCGCCCTATCAATGTTTTCTGCATCGCCAATTAGGACTGATGAATTTTTCAACATTTTGCGTCGGTGAAAATTAAATCTATAGCCAGATTCTATATTATCAGCGTCCACAGACCCCTGTTTCATATTGGTTTACAGGAAAACAGGAGACTTATTTACGCTAATCAACACTGAAACTTCTACTCCTCATATTAAGTAAATAAACATCGGCCATATGCAATTCACGACGTTTGAGATTTAGGATTCTAAAAACGGATCTTTGTATAACGCTTGTATTCTTTAAACTAGTGAAGAGTGTGCCTCAATGGCCATTAATTCCGGGTTACCACTTTCGATTGATCTTTTACTCCTCACAGCTTGAAAAAGCACACTTTCCAATATTATTATATCTGTAATGATTACAATTTAACGCGTTCTTTCAATTTAAATCTCACTTAAACAAATGCTATGCTACGATGCTATACAAAAACATAACAAACGGCAATATTTTACACTAATATAGCCAATAATGAATAACGATCAAAACATGGCAAACCCTAGACTAAATTTATGTTTTGATATGAATTTTCTTAAATTTGTTTTAGGTTCACGACCTGTTAGAATTTAAAAGTTACGGACAACTCCCTTGAAGGGTAAAATTACGGGTAAATTTAAACACAAATCGCAATAAACTTCCCAGAATATTAAGCCTGTTCACACATCGCCCTCCGCTTATGTTATGCTTACGATAGTAAGCATAACATAAGCGGAGGGATACACCAGAAGTATGAGGAAGCTTGTTATTGTTTAGATTTAGTCAATCATCCATATAAATGGAAACAGCAATAATTTCGAGTTTTTGACTGGCTCTACTTCCGGTCATAAAGTATACAGCTGCTTTACACAGCTTATTCGGCGAGATGATATTATCAAACAGATAGTTTTGTTTTTAATTAATTATATAAATGATGCAATTTCTGAGCTCAAATCTGCTGCATTTCATACGATATTAAATAATTCTGGTGAGTTTGAAGTCAAAATTTGTTTTAGTTATTTATAGATATATGGTTAAAAAAGGGTGCCATGGCTGCTAGATTAAGAAAAAAACTCGCTTTTTTTACTGTTCCGATTTGGCCGCCTTTTACATGTTTATTACTATTTGTTCTTAGTGCAAGCCATGCACCATCATACGTTAGTGATTAGCATATTGTTCGAGAAGCGAAATTTAGTTCATTTTACAAATTATAATTCAGTTTAAATTGGTATATCATTGACTAGGTAAAAAGTGTTTTTTCATGGATTCTCTTTTTTTAAGCGACGATTTTTACATCTTGAATTAACAGGATTACAAATGATGATTCCGATTGACGATCGCAACGCTTGAATACGCCATCTGGAGAGAGACCGGGTTTTATGCCTTTGGCCCTTCTCCCTTCCCTCTCCTTCTCTTTTCAACTGTGTAGGAAATGTACTACGATATTTTCCATTTCTTTTAATATTTTTCCTTTTTATTTAATAAAAATATTTTTTACAATTTCCGTGATGCTGTTCTTTATAACTATGTTTAAAGTAGTTCTCGGTTTCATATAGTTTTCCAACTTAAAAGATTTTAATCTATATGAAAATCACGAGAGAAGTTAACGCATTTCCTTCCTCTATGACTCTCCACATGCTAATGGGGAAAGCATGCGAAGTGTTGCCATAGGTAGAGAGTTCCGCTGTACGCCACCTGCAGCCCATTTCGATCGCCAATAAGCAAAATTAATGCGGGAAAGATGAAAACTCGCTGAAGAACCGTAAAAAATCCCCTTGCCATATTAACGCCAATGATATTCAATTCATTTTGGTGGCATGTACTAAGATGATAGGATGGTAATTAGTGCTCCAAATATTCAAATGTAGGTAACAAGAGGCCTACAGTAGGTAATAGGGAGAAAAAAATTTTTTTTAACGGCCTCCTAAAGGGATACGCGCAGGAGAAAATTGCACGATTGTGGTAAACTTTGACGATTCTTTTTATAACTTTCATTAAAAGAATCGTTATAGGAATGCATAAGAGAATCATTTTACACACAAATAATGAATCAAGTTACAAATACACACATCCAAGAAATACTACTCAAAAGAGTCGCAAACACAAAGATCTCGTTCTGAGCTAAATGGCTTCAACATATACCGGAAACAGAAACCCGGAAGAATAGGCAATAAAGAGCGTGTAGTGCACCCTAGTGAAGAAAACACCGCGCTATAGAACTTAGCGAATGGAACATACAGAGTCGTCCCGAGCTGTGGCCAGGAGAATGAAGATTTGGTAGCTCCCAAAAGATGGCATTTTTAGCAATCCTAAACAAATAGATGAAATAGGTGATGTTTTCTGCACTTGAGAGGGCTGCATTCTCTTTACCGCCCATATTTCCGGGTTAATGTATCTGGTGTATTTTGAGGTCATTTGGCTCAACGTGCTCATAGTATGTTCTAAACTAAACACTAACATATAGTTTGTCTGTAGAAAGAATTCCCTCACCACAAAGTCGAAGGCCGTCTGCTGCTATGGGAATGCTAGGGAAATAGCGCACTTCAAAAAGGGGGCTTCTCTCTTCTCTTTTTCTCAACCACCTTAGTCAAATCCTGCTCTAAATATGACCCGACGCCCCTGCTTGAAATAGTTAAATCTCGTAACCATAGTCACCGCCACTGTTCCAGACAAATGGCAAGAAGAGTTCTTTCCACAGACAGACTATATGCACGGTGCATTGCGTGCAATAAGAACAAATTGAAATAAAAAAAAGTCAAAAGAAGCTAAATTAGGAATGCAAAAAGCAAGTTTTTTCCTAAATGTCACCTTTTTCGGCAATATATCTATAAAGAATTAAAGCAAGCTTTCCCTTCAAACTCAACAAAATTATTTAATAACGTTAACATCTTATAAAATGCAGCTGATTTGAGCTTAGAAATTATCATGGTGTCCTTACTTTTCAACTACAATAATCAAAAGTAATAGTGAACAGCGCACATGCGTTGCTATGGCAACCGCTGCTGTTAGATACTGTTTTTAGAATTCTTTTTTTGACTTTTAAATTTATTATGCATTAGGTTGGTGAGTCTATTTTTGAGATATGGGGCCAGAGAGATTCCATAAATACCGCTTGAGTTGTGAATAAAAGAGAATTTCATCATTTGAACGATATTTTTGTTTTTGTTGTTTTAATTAAGAATCAGAAATTCCAACCTACAGTTCAAACGGGATCGTTTTCAATACTAATTCAGGAGAATATCACAAATAAAGAGGGTCTAAACTGATTGACACTGTCCCAAAAGCTAGAGTTGAAGCAAGAAAAAAACGATGCCAAGGCCTAAACTTACCGAGGTTGAAAAACTCAAAGAACGTAGACGGGAATACCTTAAACGTTACACACAAATCGAAAAACGAAAGGATTCCGTTCGCAAACGCAAGAGTGAAGCCCGTCGCTCACAAAAGTACCAGAGGGGTTGAGAGAATTGAACCCTCCCGAAAAGCGAATGGTGACTCTCCGAACCCCATTCATGCAAATACGAGAATTGGGAGTTGATCACCAGTTAGGGATAAAAGGATCCATTGTTAACGTACCCAATAACTTGCACAAGACCGTTGTCTTTCACGCAATATAAATGATTCATTCAGTATTCATGTAAAATTTGAAAAAAAAAAGCCTAGCTTTCAAATTATATTTCATGTATGAACTTGTGAATCCGAAACGGGTGTATGATGCATCTTACAATCTCCATTAAACACCATTGTACCAAACCGAAAATGTTAATATTGATCTCGATTGGCTGTTCAATGTCTATTCAGCCATCAAAAGAATTTTCAAAGTATGTGTCTGACAAGGGAAACTAGGGAAGTGTGACTCGCTAATTTTGAAATAAACTAGTGGGATGTATGCCTTATGAGGAATAATTTTAGGGGGCAACATTCGTTTCGGCCCATAGAAGGTCCTGTGAGAGATAAAAAATAATTCAATATATAGAAAAATCGGTATTTTATTACTTTAATGCAGACTATTAGTTATTGTAATTGTCTCATAATCCTATTAATTTGTAATTAATTAGATAATTGTTTAATTTTCTAATTAATAAATTAATCGAAAAATTAACGAATTGTTAATTAATTATTAATTAATTAATTGTTAATTATTAATTAATTAATTGTTAATTATTAATTAATTAATTGTTAATTATTAATTAATTAATTGTTAATTATTAATTAAATAATTGTTAATTATTAATTAAATAATTGTTAATTATTAATTAAATAATTGTTAATTAATTATTTATTAATTAATTGATTTGCAATTACATACTCCAATTAATTTGAAGAGTTTTTTGGAAGAAAAAAAATTAAAAAAAATTTGATGTCAATTTTTTATTTTATTTAACCTAACAGGTTTTTCTGAAAAACTACAGATAGATAAAATTTTCGAAATCAATTTTGACAATAAATATGCATTATATAGTACGTGAAAGTACAACAAAATTAATTGGAGTATGAGACAATTACAATAACCATTAGTCTGCATTGAAGTAATAAAATACCGATTTTTCTATATATTGAATTATTTTTTATCTCTCACAGGACCTTCTATGGGCCGAAACGAATGTTGCCCCCTGAAATTATTCCTCATAAGGCATACATCCCACTAGTTTATTTCAAAATTGGCGAGTCACACTTCCTTTAGTTTCCCTTGTGAGCCGCATTTAAATATGTTTGCGAAATTGTGAACAGAGCAGTTCAGCAGTTAAAGATGTCCAAGATGAAAGCACAATAAAGTTTCTTTTCTTAAAAGAATTAGACAACAACCATTTTGCCAATGGGTAACCAATATTTCTTTTTCATAAATAATTTCACCATGCAGCATTCCTTGAAATACTGCCATATAATTTGGGTTTGAACAGTGGATTTTATTTCGAAAATGGCAACTGAATACTGAGTTCCTTTACAAAAAAACATTACACAATTTTTAACGTTTAAAGAGACACTTTTGAATTTAATTTCACTAATTTGCACCACGTGAGGTATATTTTTTGGGCATAACTATTTTTTACGAGTATAATTCTCAAAATTATAGTCACATAATTTTTCTTTGGAATGTAATTTATTTTGGTAATGTCAGTAGAATATCGCGTTTTTTTATTAAGGCTGGGCTAAATTTTCACATTAAAATAAAAAAAATTTGAATTTATGGCACATTTATACAAGTTTAATTGATTCTTTTAGAAATGGATTTCAAACAAAGAGATTTATA